GAGGTGTACAGTCATCTCGGCGTAATTGCGTGAATACTTATGCAAATACGCCGCTAGCCCAAGGAATTTTCGAAGACCTTTGACATCGACCGGCACAGGCCAGTCGGTGATCGCCTTGATCTTTTCGGGATCAGGACGTACACCGTTCTTACCAACGATGCACCCAAGAAGTGGTATTTCGCTTGCTGCAAATATACACTTCTTGAGGTTTGCATACAATTGATGCTTTCGCATGATTGTAAGAACTTGTCGGACGTGGTACTTGTGAACCTCAACGTCCGACTTTCCATCCATAGCTCGACTATGGATGAATACGTCATCGAAATAACTCGGCGCGAATTCTCGTACTGGCCTCAACAGATGTGATACACACCTGTTGAACGTGGCAGGGGCATTACTGAGCCCTTGTGGCATTACTAGCCATTCCCAGAGCATGCCGCTAGGCGTGCTAACTGCGGTATAGGGTATATCCCGTTCCCGCATTAGGATTTGATAGAAGCCATCCATCAAATCCATGGACGAAAAGATGGTACTCTTTGACATACCATCAATGATTACGTCCTTCCTCGGTATCGGCGTCTGAGCCGGTACCGTTGCAGCGTTCAATTTGTTAAACGCGTGCACTATCCGCCACCCTCCTGTTGCTTTTCGCACACAGAAGGTCGGAGAGCTATGTGGGGAAGTTGATTCCCTCATATGGCCCGCTGCTAAACGATCGGCAAAGAACTTGTCGATCGCAAGTACTTGTTCACGAGGCAGTGGCCACTGCTTCATGACACAGTACTTCGAGCCTGGTTTAAGCTCGACTTCGTGTCGAATACCTTTATCCTTCGGTAATTCGCACGGAACAGTTTCAGGGAATACATCCTTGAATTCAACCAAATCTTCATAGAGAGGATTTTCCTTGAGCGATTCCCATGATTGGGACTCATATCGCTCAATTCGTGTCTTTTCATCTAGGACACTCTCGTCCATAGATGAACTACTGAGAACTCTCTCGTTCTCAGTAAACACTGTTGCTGACCTTATGTCGGTTACATACTCGTCGTCAGCGACGAGTATGCAGATCTGCTTGACTTTGCCACTACGCAGATCACGCAAGAACCTTTTATGTTCGAGCGTTGGCAACTGAGTGATCTCCGAAGTTAACTTCGGAGGCGCAATCAGATCAAGTGTATAAGCGCCTACACATGATCCGTTATTGACTATGACATTCAATGTCTCTGTCATTTCCTGGGGACTTATTCCCTCAGGCTTCGAAGGACTTATTCCTTCGTCTTCCCGGGGACTTATTCCCGCGGGTTTCGGGGAACTTATTTCCGCCGTATTTGTAATCTTGGGACTTATTCCCTTTACTTCCTCTAGCTGGGGTTGCGCAACCACAGCGAGATCCTCTACGAAAGACTCTCCAGTCGATCTAGGATTATCGTTTCGCTTAACCTGAGCGATCGATTGTTTCTCTTCTAGATGTTCCCCTCTAGGGATACATCTTTGTACCGGTCCACCCGACTTATTCGAGTGGTGGACCTTCGGCGCAGCCTGTGTTTCCTCACAGCCGCCGGAACTTTGCTCCGAAGTGTAACCGTTTGGTACACTAAGGTTTTGTGCAGTCGTACTAACGACCGTACCACAAGTGAGGCCATCGCACTCACTCGTAGTACATCCACACGCTTGTGGACGCTCCAAAACGTTCATCAGATGGCCATCTGATGAACAAGCGGCAGGCATCGTTACTGTCCGATGTTGCCAGTTTACCCGTGGTTCGTACCTTCTGAGCCACGGTATTCCAAGGATGACATCAAATTTGTCATCCAAATCCAATACGATAAAGTCATCGTCATATTGGGTATCTTCTAGCGTATAGTGGATCTTCACTATACGCTTCATGACGGTTACGGATGCGCCTGTCGCAAGACGTACCGTCATCCTCGTAGGAGGTGTGTCACATTCACTGAATTTAAAGTGACCATCTTCTAGCGATTGGCGTCGCACAAAATTGTTGGACGCCCCACAATCGACTAGAGCTCGAAGGGACAACTTATTCGTCACTTCGAGTTTCAAGGTAATGAGTGAGATCTCATTACCTAGAGCAGCAACGCACAACGTCTGTGTGTTGGGAGCAACCTTCATCAAGAGGCCTACAAATTCTCTTGACGTTGCTGGATCAGTAGGGTGCTCCGCACCTACTGATCCTGTCCGTTTTTTGACGGTCCACCCCGTTGTTGCGTCTTTGCACCAACTGCGGACCCTCGTCCCTGCCCCTTTCTCATGGGTGGACGGTCACTACGCCCAGTGTCGCGAGACACTGGACGAGGGGCACTACACTCGTAAGCGTAGTGTCCTGTCTTTTGACATCTGTTGCATCTCTGCAACTTCTTGTAGCCTGTAGAGCGAGCCTTCTCGCTCTCTACATAACAGAGTTCCATCGGCTCTGGACCTCCGTTGTCATATCGTCTCGGTTGACGATATGATGTCGAGCTGGCGCGAGCCTGTCTCAGACTGAAGTCTTCCTGCTCCGCAATGGAAATGGCTTGTTCTAGTGAATCTAGTTCAAGCCGGAACAGGTGAGTCTTGACGGGACCATCCGCAAGACCCTGCATGAACACCGAAACCAACGTGTGTTCATCCACCGGATTGGAACTTATACAACTCGTAAGATGTCGTATATGTTGAGCGTAAGCGTGCACATCACGCTTACCCTGCTTGAGCTTCAAGAGTTCGGTTCGAGCCCTGAACTCAGCTCTAGGCGGTTCAAACGTTTGTCTGGGCCGCGACTTGAAGACTTCCAACGGCCCAAACGCGTATGGGTCGTGCAGCTTGAGCCCCAGTGCCCAAGTCTTGGCACGTCCTGCCAGATTTGATTGGGCAAATGCAACTTGCATATCCCCGTCGTCGATGCGACGCGCCCTTATGGCGTCATCCAATTCGACGAACCATCTCAAGAGGGAGTCTTCTTCGACCCCTCTATACTTTGAGATGTCAATCTTCAAAGTCTCGGGCCGACGCGAGTGCATCGACCCGCCAGCAGCAGCCTGCTGCTGTCTCAACAGTTCAAACTGTTGAGCACCCTGTTCTCTCAACAACTCTGCTTGTTGAGAACCTTGTTGGTGAAGCAAGGCTACTTTCTCGCGTTCTGCGTCAAGTTCATTTTGAATGAACTTGGCGATAGTAGCATGTTGGGCATCTCTATTGAGAGCCTCTAGCATGACGCTAACAGCATGGATGCCCATGGTCGAACCCATTCGTTCAACCGCATCCCATTCGACATCGCTCAAATGGGAGTAGCCGTCACGCGTAGCGTGAAAGCTTTGGTCATCTTCATCATCCAACATATTCATGTTGGATGTGAACGCGGTCCTTGGACGGACTACAAAGTGCTACCAGGTGTAACGGGGCACCCTGAAGCTTGTACTGGTGACAGTACAAGCTACTTATTCTGATAACAGAATAAGGCGGTACCTCGTAACTTCACGTACACTCGTACGTGCAGAGGAAGACGGTAAGAAGAAGCGAGTACTTGGTTAGAGTAAAAAGTAGAACTGTATTTATAATAGTTAATGTCTGCAATAAATCACTATTTATCTTCATCTAACTATGTCTAAATACAAATGTGTAAATCAGTTATCTGCTCACCACTCATTGCGTGCGTCTGTCGTGGAGCGTCTTCGTTGGTTGATATAATGGCCTATATCAACCAATTAGGAACTACTTGTAAGTGCTACAGAATATTTGTCCTTATGACAATATTCTGAGAATATAACTCTTATAGTTATATTCTATTAACAATTTCTTATAAATTGTTATGTAACGATTCACCCCGTTACAGTTACAGTGTGTGCACGTAAGATATTGTCATTTCCTTATATTGCCAAAGCCAGTACTGGTTCCTTACCGTTGTCTAAAATGATCGATAAATACCGGTACTCTTTGCAACGGGTATTTACAGTGGACCACACCATCGTCGTGGACTTCCAACCTCTAGTTTGGAGATCGCAAGACGAGTCACGATGAAGCTCGTCAGGTACGCGTGCGCACCGCTGCAGCGAGACTGGAAGGAGCTCGTCGCCCCTTACATGCGCTCTGTCTGTCCAGCACAGTACCTTTAACTCTATTTGCTGCTTTTCTCGTCTCTTGCTGCAGGTTTTTGATGAAGTTGTCGAATGAGACGGTCACTATTGAGCTGAAGAACGGAACTATCGTCCATGGGACGATTACTGGTGCGACCGTGTTCGGCTTGTATGGTCGATTTCACTTCGAACAGAGCACTGACATGGGTCCAACTTCACTTTGTATTGGTGTTTTACTGTGTGTAGGTGTGGACATCAGCATGAACACACACCTTAAGGCGGTCAAGATGACGGTGAAGGGCAAGAACCCAGTAAGCTTGGACTCACTGAGCATCCGTGGCAACAACATTCGCTACTATATATTGCCCGATTCGCTGAACCTCGACACGCTGCTGATTGACGACACTCCCCGCGAGAAAGTGAAAGCAGGTGCTCCTGCAGGGAGCGGGCGTGGACGTGGACGAGGTCGCGGGCGTGGCCGCGGGCGTACGTAATCAATAGTTGATGCACTCTTACTCATTGTAAAAGGTGATAAGAAGGGTGGGCGGTAGCGAACAAGACCAAGGAAAGCGTCGTGATGGAGGCGAGATCATAACTATCGGAGGGAACGACGAGCAGAACTAGAATTAAACGTTCTTGAAAAACATGCAGCAGATGGAGTTCTATCATTTCCTACGTTGCGAGATGACGCCAGCGATGAGTTGCAAGCGTGCGTGCGTGATAAGGTGGCGATCCGAAGATCATACTGCTTCGAAGAGAAATGATGGCCTTGATGGGTGGTAATGGTCATGTACCACATGTTGACCCTGTTTGCTCTCAATTGGCTTGATGTGTGTATCCATTGGTCACAATTGTTTGCTTGCCTACTACCCTATTCTGCCAACTCGTACCAGCCAGTACTACTCGATTCGTACTTACGCGAATCGCCCACCCATGTCGAGACGAATGGACATGCCGGAGCACAAGAAGCGATCGGCTGCGGCAGACGTCGCGGACGCCGACGCCAGCAGTTTCCTCGACAACGCGCAGCGCTCAGTGGACTTCCTCTTCTCTCCAGTCGTCGTCTTACCAGGTGATGACGTGACGTCTGCGCTCACGAAGACGACGCGTCGTGTCAAACTCGGTGCGTCATCTGCTCCTCGTTTCATGGAGTTGAAGTGACTTTTTGTATCGAACCAGAAACCGGAAACCGTTTTGATGATACAATGGAATTTACTGTGATAGGCGCGGGACTGAAGCAGCTACCAGACGATCGGATCGTGTGCACGAACGCAGGCGTTCTTCGCTACCGCCCAGCCAATCGCTACTGGGTTGAGTACACATGCAAACGCGTACGTAGGACTTTGTGTTTGCAGTAGCTACTTGTGTCTTATGCTGTCCTGTCATCCGCTTAATTGCTGCTGGTGGTGAACATTAGTACGTTGCGTCATTAGACGACGGCGTCATTGGCGTCGTAACGGATCGAAACGCCGACTTTTATCGTGTAAACATTGGAGCTGCGTACGTACTTGCTCTCGGATTGCTCTGGAGATCGACAGCGGCTGCAACGGTGGGATTGCACGAAGCCTTATTGACTTATTCGTTGCTTTCGTTGTCAGTGCTAGCGCTGTCTTGGGCATGCTGGCGTTTGATGGGGCTACAAAGCGGAATCGCCCCAATCTCCGTCTTGGATCTCTCGTCTATGCTCGCGTGAACAAGGTGAACAAGAACGTGGAACCCGAAATCACTTGCGAAGGTACGACGATCTCGAACGATATGTCTGCTGTGCTGTTGCAGCGTGCTAACATTTACGTGGATTGGCGTAGCTCCTCCGAGTGTGACCAAGAAAGATTGGATGACTGGCTTGGCCATCTATGGTGAGCTGAACGATGGTTATGTCTTCAAGACGTCTATCGGGCTAGCGAAGTCGTTGCTGCACGACAATTGCCAGGTGCTAGCGTCCCTGAGCAAGCGACTGGCTTTTGAGGTAGCTGTTGGAGTCAACGGTGTTGTGTGGGTCAACGCAAAAACAGCGAAGAACATTACAATAATTTCCAACTCAATCGTGAACTCCGAGACCATGTCATCCAGTGAGATCAATGCCATGGTGACTCGGCTCACGGAAGATGCTGATGACGCTTGATCAAGGGTAGAATACACACAGATTTGACGTTTGTGATGCTGTTGTATGTGATACTGCTGCACCTTCAGGATCGACATGGTCGTAACGTGCTAATACCGACTTGCTCCTGCTCCAAATGACTTCTCTCGACTGCAGAACCCAAAGTACGACAGGTGCTCATGTGCTAGTGCTGGATCTTGTTCCTGAGAATGCGAGTAATCGAATGGAAGCGACATGGTGTCCAAACGATGAGGAGGATGTTTGCGTGGAGTGCGAGAAGTACCTTTGCCTTTCGTCGTCAGAAATACGTACAGCTGGCACAATGAAGAAAGTGTCGAGCATAAGACGAGCTTGCGCTACTGAACAGGTCGAAACTATGTGTCACGTGAACCGATCGAAGACGAGGTCTGCGAACGGGCATCGGCTCAACAGAATGCTGCACAGACCAAAAGCAGTGCAGAACAGTAGCAGCCACAGCCGGATGGTCATAAACGTAGTATTGCAAGTGTCACCCCGGCGTTGGTTCAAATCAAGATCAGCGATGTGATAATGGAGACGGTACCCTGGGCAGGAAGAGCTGCGTGTCGTGTTCGGACGTACGATGCTCGACCAACCTGCTTGGCGCCGTACACTTCATCGCGCTTGAATCATCACCCAAACCACAGCATGAGCCCTGCCTGGAACGTTAGGTTCCTTGAGGCATCGACATGGTATCATCTTGCATTATGATCAGTACGTACGTATGTGTAACGCTGCGTACATGCAACACGAATGACCACCAAGACTTTGCAAACATGATTGCGCTCAGTCGGTGAGCACCACACAGAGACATCGATCCCAACTTCACAAGAAACAACGTACTCTCTTTTGCTTACGTATCTCTCCTCGTGCTCCTTCTACCGGTTCTTTCGGCCTTAGACGGGGTAACGACACCTTTCTTTGCTCGACAATAGCTAGCTTGACCGGGCCAACAGGGACAAAGCTATCCAAGCGTCAGACCCAAGCCAAACTTGTGCGAGTCTCCTTCAAAGTTCTTTGCGTCCACGTGCACACTGGTCGTCAACGTCACGTACGGACGCACTCGCTGGATCGTCGCGAGCGAGAGGAATCCCTCCGAGTTGATTTTGCCACAGTACGTCGTGTCGTGGTCGGCCTTGTACCGCCCGCCCACGACCAGCGAGTTGGAGGCCGACTTGAGGTCGTAGTCCAGCACAGCAGCGTACACCGTCTTGTGCGACAGGTGGTGGTGGAACGACAGCTGGAACGCCGCAAAGTTCCGCTTGGTCACGAGCGACGTGACAAAGTCGGCGCCCGTGAAACTGGCGCCCACATTGTGCTGCACCAGGGCCGACTTGTCCACGTTGAAGGCCGTCTGGCCACCCACCGAGTAGTTGCCCTGCGAGACCACGGCCGCGGCCGAGACCGTGTTGGCTACAAAGTCCGCGTCCGAGTTCACGGCCACGTTCTTGTGCTTGAACTCGGCCCCGAGCACGCCGACCTGCTTGGCGCTCGCGGTCTTGGCCACCGAGCCGTCCTCGAGCTTGAACGTGAGCTTGAGGCCTTCGGTCAGCACGTTCGGCAGCTCGGCCTCCGTGATGACGCGTCCCTGGGTCGTGATCTGCAGCTTCTTGAACACGACGCCGCTGGCGCCGTGGGTGAAGCCGCTCGAGACCTTGGCGAGGATGGACTTGGAGCCGCTCAGCGCGCCCTCGGTCGTGAAGGACACGCCGTTGGACGCCGTGCTCTTGATCTTGAGCTTGCGGGAGAAGTCGTAGTCGTCCCGCAGGACGTTCTCGGCCGTCTTGGCCAGATCCTTGTACAGCACGACCATTGTGGGTGGTGACGGCTGCTGCTACTTTTGCTGCTGCTGCTGCTACTTTTCTACTTTGGAAGTGATGCACGAGCCCCACAAAAGCACTTCGGGACTTTATTTTCGGGGCTCCACACGATTCGCCCCCTCCCGTATAAGTTGATTCGAGGTGGAGCATCGGCGTTGACAGGGAGAGGGGAAAAACCGCAGCCTTCTGAACCGTCAGGCTCTCAGAGCCCGTGGTGGGTGTGCAGGCTGATGATACTTTGCCACTCTTGATGAGGTATCAGGAATAAGTTGGACACCTGATCGATCGAGTGAGAGAAAGACGGAGCACTTGGACCAAAAGGTCGCGACTGGACAAACAGTTTACTGTCATTTAGTTTCTCGTGCTGTTCCGCACTTGGAAACTTGGCGGCTGATAGACGATTGGTGTCATGGCTGCATGCTGTAATGAATGGCTACGCTGTGAAATGACGGCGTCCATTAGAGCGTGACGTCGTTGAGACTGTGGAGGTAATACATAATTTAGAGAGAAAATTTAACGAGCGGTAGCTCTGACCTCAGCTTTTAGGATCAAAAGGCCGCATCTCGAGAGATAGAGTTGCAGAGAGGACCGTTCGTACTTAATCGCGTATCGAGCAAGCGCTGTGACCGCACAAGCGACGATCGGGGGCGACTGCCACGTTCATTTGCGTTCACTATCGACTGTGTTCTCGATACAGTCCTCTCGTATTCGTACTTAGGGCGGCCCCGCCCCCCTTCCTGCGGCGGCGGCGGGCCTGGCATTTGCGAAAAGATCAGCAAACAACAAGTCGCACGTGGCGCAAGATGGTTCTGCTGTACAAAGACGTGGCCAAGACGGCCGAGAACGTCCTGCGGGACGACTACGACTTCTCCCGCAAGCTCAAGATCAAGACCAAGGCGTCCAACGGCGTGTCGTTCACGACCGAGGGCGACATGACGAGCAACAAGGCGATCGTCGCCAAGCTGTCGGGCGCCTTTACGCACGAGCAAAGTGGCGTCGTGTTCAAGAAGCTGCAGGTGACGACGCACGGCCAGCTGATCAGCGAGGCGGAGCTCCCCAATGTCTTCACCAAGGGCCTCAAGCTCACGGCCAAGGTCGAGGACGGCTCGCTCGGCAAGCACTTGCACGCCAAACGTGTCGGCGTCTTTGGCTGGGAGTACCAGCAGCTGAACTACTCGGTGAACGGCGCGATCGACGTTGGGGCTAATACCGTCAGCAAAGCTGCTGTCTACGGCTTTGACAACGTCCTTGTGGGTGTCCAGGCCGCCTTCAATTACAACAAGTCGGCCGTCGTGGACCATAATGTCGCTCTGAGCTACCGTGGCACGGACTTTACGGCCACGCTACAGACCAAGAAGAAGTTTAACGCGCTCTCGGGCTCGTTCCACCACCACCTCTCCTATGATACCGTCTACTCGGCGCTGTTCAACTACGACCTCGTGTCGGGCCACAACACTCTCAGTGTCGGCGGTCGCTACAATGCCGACAGGGTCACCACATACGCTGGTAAGGTCGAGTCGAATGGTCACGTGTCGTTGGCTCTGATCCAGAAGATCCGCCCCTACGTGGCGCTGACCACGAGTGCGCACGTGGACGTGAAGAACTTTGATGGCGATGCCCACAAGTTCGGCATTGGCCTTACTCTGGGCTAAGCAGAACCGAGAGCTTGATAGAGATGAGTGTCGAGCCAGTGCTGGAGGTGTGGGAATAAGCTGGACGAGCGACTTGTGGTGCTGTAGCGGGATATCGTAGCTTAACTCTAAGAGTCAATTTGTTCTCTTTTCTGTTTATCGATTGTAGCCCCGCAGGTGTCGTGAGGAGACGTGACACTAAAGACACGTAATGGTACGAAAATAGAGATGTCAGTACAAGTGCTCGAGGTGACAGACGTGGGTAATGGTCGGGGACGTTTGTTCGAGTCGGACTGATAGCCAGTCAATTTAATCTACGAAACGATGCAAACATGTGGATACGTGCAGGATACCGGAAACACGTAGGACGCAACCACGTACAGACTCTCAGTACCGGTTTTGTCGATTTGTATTTCGAGTGAGTCGCAATACCGACACCCGTCGCAAAACGAAGACCACTTCAGCGCGGAGCTAATGTAAATCACGCTATTTATGGTACGTGACTGAATAAGATAAGTTTCAGGTGTCACGAGTAAAATTGACACAGGACGAATACTATCATTGCATGGAGATGTCCAGCAATAAAGCATCAATCTTAGACGTGTTCATGGTGCCGCTGAGCCGGCGCTGTTTCACCCGGGTGATGTCTTTGATATCTATATCATTAAAGAAGCAATATAAAACACTGCAGTAAATTGATTTTGTTATTTACCTTCATTATTCCTCTACCTACTTCTTACTCACCATCCATCCTGCCCACTTTATCACTATCCTTCTTGTCCACCCATTTTCAAGTTTCGCATATCGTGTCGCACAACGTATGCCCATTATAAACAAAAAGTCGGCGGCCGCCATTCCCATCGTCGTCTCGCGCGCCTCGCCCGCAATCGTACTTACGACGACACTCTTGTTCAACATACTCTTTTCCGACACTTTTCCTCGGCCGTGACTTTCGCACGTTACTTTAGTCGCAGCATCGTAAACAATTCAGCAAGCTTTGCCGTGTCTGGGGCCTTTGTCAACAGGTTTACCAGTTGCAGATCTGAGCACACGTACTGGTCCGCGACCACAACACGTCGGGGGTAGCTGCAGACAAACTTCAGACGCACATCGAGGTGCTTGGCCTTTATCGAAGATGTCTCCCCAGCCAACTACTTCAACGCTGCTTAGCCGTCGACGTGGAGTGGCATCGGGATAACAGGCGGCTTGCCGATTCGCACAAACATCTCCATGATGCCGAGCAGCTAGCGCGCTTGCTCATACGCGGCCACAAACTTCGCCTCCATCGTGGAAAACGTAACCTGCCCTTCTTCTTCGCCGTCCAGATCACCGACTTCCCGTTCAGACGGATGATGCCTTTGGTCAAGGACGTCCTGTCCGACTTGTCAGCAGCGAAGTCGGCGTCCTGCTCAAGCTGCAGCTCGCCATCGGACATCTTCATCGGCTTCATACGCAGCTTGAATGCGCGTGTACTTATCGGGTAACACGCGGTATGTTTCACGATTCTGAGGACGTGCAGTCGTGGCTGATGGGTCTGTCGCGTTGCTTTAAACATGGCAAACACAATTTCCGGGCCCATTTAGCGCATTACTCGAAGCGAGCTACCGACAAGGATTGAAAAGGCGGAATAATTGGACCTATGTCCTCCCCAATCCTACTTAACACCGCGTGGTCTTCTGGCTGAGGTCATAGCAGTCCGCCCTGATCGGGGCTCGAGTCAAGTTGGCGCTCTCAATTACATGCTCACGCAGCAGCTCGCCAATGTCTTTTGACTAGTCTAGTACGTAGCAGCCGTCGTCGTCGATCGCCACGCGCACCCCGAAAAACATGCTGACGATGCCGAGATCCATGATGGACAGGCACTCAAGCTGGGTGTAGAGACTATCGATAGTAGCTGTGCTGGTCCTGGTGACCATAAGGTCGTCTACGTACACCCCCACGACAACCAGCTGGTCATCATCGATCTTCCAGTAAATGCACATACCCTAGACACACTGGATGAAGCCAGCGTCAAGCAATTAAGCGTACAAAAGCTGGCTCCAAGACCCCCTAGCCTGCTTGAGGCCATACAGGCTTTTACGCAGCTGAAGCAGGACATCCTCCTTGTGTGCGGAGCCGAGTGTCTTGAGAGTTTCCTCACTGACGTCTATCCCCGGGGGATCATGCAAGATAATGACCAAGTGCGCTTTCTTTTTAGCTTTGACGAAGGCGTTGGGGATGTCTCCGTGCTTGGCCGGCACGCCCCAGATTGTCACAAGCGCCAAAATACACCTTCACCGTCGACATATCCATCATAGCCGCTTAAGTGAATTAATAGTCGGCCCCAAAAATCTGCTTGTTATCACACGCCACCAGTCTTGCCTTTTTGACGCTCGAGAAGTACGTCAGCATTGGTCTTCTTCCTGCAAAATACATCGTGCGCAGTGCGCTTCTTCCTGTAGGTTTCTCGATTAGGCTCCACACACCATGTTCTTTGAGAGCTTGTAGTTATTCTTGAATTGCCTTTCCCAGCCCTTTCCTCCAGCACAGCGCATCAATTTCCTGTAGTTATTGGGGTCGCGCTCGTACACCTGCGCTACCACACTAACGTGTTGCACACCTTCTTCTTGAAATAGCTCCTCCTTACCGTCTGATCACTTCGCGCGCATAGCTGCACGCGTCTTTCATGGCTTCGAAATCGTTCTCCCAACCCGAACTCTACTGCAGATGCCTCATCCCTTGCAGCAGCGTTTGTCACAGGCATAGTGATAGGCACAGTGACAAATAAACTTGGTGCGTCGACCACGAACGCCTGATATGAAAACTCAAGTGCACGTTGAATCTGACTGTTGCTCTCCTCGCTAAGAATTTTAATATTTTGCACGTGCTGTGAGACCGTGACCTTGTTATATTATCTCTGTGTGAACACCCTGTACCCCTTCGTCCTATCGCTGCAACCGATAATAACTTTAATTTGCGCCTGTTGCGCTAGTGAGTTCCTGCCGGGGTTCTGATGAGCCGTACAGGTAGGTTTAAGGGCGACTATATCACGCAGGTCAAAAGCTTGCTCGATCAGGACCTTCATCAGCGACGCGCGCTTTGCATTCGCACTGACAGGCTGCGGTTAATTTTTACGCTGCACACTCGACGGCGTCCCCCCAAATTGACACAGGAAGACAAATAGCAAAAATCATGCTGTGCGCCCTGCTTATCACCGTCCTGTGCATGCGCTTCGCCTTTCCTTTGGAGCCTATTTTCTTGCCTCTTTCATTTGCCGCACAACGCCTGTCGGCATGCCGAACATGTCAACGTTGGCGTACTATCCACCCATTCTGATTCAAGCACATGAATGCGACAGCTGAACGGCGCTCGGGATTTTTATAAAGTACTCGAAATTATTGGTAGATTTGCCCTTCGTAGGCTCCAGAAAATGCGACAATAGTTCATTTTTTATCTAGTAAGGTTGTAATATAACATTTGCCAGGCAACCGTTATATTTTAACCTTACTAGATTACGTCCGTTGGCGTCATCGAGCCCCCCTAAATCTAAGCAAAAAGCTCCACCAGTTCGATCGACAGGCAATTTTGCGCCAGTGTCTTTCCGTGGTTGAACATTCTTGTCAGTTTTTCCTGCACACATGATATACAAGTCGAGCGTTGTTGTCCGTGAGCTTGATTCCGGACGCTGAGTTTGTTGGCCATCATTTTGATGTTGTCGTAAGCGAAATGTTTAAATTGCTGGTGAAAATGTAGAAGGAGGCTTGATTGCACATCATCATCCGCCTCATCAAACGACTCTTTACGCATTGAAATAGACACCACCACGTCTCTTGGCGTCTAAATCTCGCGTTCTGATTATACTGTCCTCACGTACAGAACGTTGAGCTTCATCAACGCATCAAAAGCTACTTCGCCCCATCACTGTCTTGCCAGAATCCACGTCGCCTCATCGTAGACAGAGCCAAAAAATCGTACTCGAGCTTGCCTTGTGCAATAACGTTGCGTGCTAGCTCAGGCGCAAGGAAGACCTCATTCAACGTCACATTTTGCTGCTTACCCTTCACCAGCACCGTCAGCACCACGTTATCGACCCGCTTCAGCCTTATCGTTTTGCCACCAGCAATGTGACAATGTACTTCAAAATTTTGTGCGTAATGTTCCAGAGTGGGATTTTTGACGAGGTAAAGGCTGAAAACACTGTCGAGTATCCAGCTTTCAGCCTCAGTCTCACCATCGTCACCTATCTTTATTGCTAGGTCTTTCTTAAGTGCGCGTAACCCCAACCTTTCTTTGCCTTCTATACGTAAAGCACCGTGTACCATCACGCCTGCTGCGACTACCACCGTTCCCACCGCCGGTCCATTTACTGCGACGGTCAGCCATGACGTGCCCCACCTTGCTGCAGCCGTAGCAAGTGCGCGTGTCCTGCGTAGTGTGGACTTATCCACAAGTGTCACAGCCTCTTTACCAAAGGAACGTCCCGATAGAGCTTCCATATTGATGGATTGGTAGAATTGGGCTAGCTCCTCCGCGTGAACAAGGTAGACCGCATGGTGCATGATATACCTAGCCATGAGTATCATCAAAAGCGCGGGTGACGCATACCTGACGATGTTGTTCAGCACTTGCTGCTCCGCACCACTGCGGCGTCACTGGTAGCCACAAGGTATAAATAGAGCTCCAGCCACAAGCTCTTCATTTTTTAATTTGTCGTAAAGAACTTTAGGGCTTTTGTTGCTGAAATAGTTAACTTTAACGTCTATAGCATGCCTTGCATCACGTACTGCACCGTCGGTAGCACAGTCCACCTCGATTCAACCTGCTTGTTGAATAAAGCTCGGCGGTCCCAGTGAGGAGCTGAAAGAAAACTTCGGTCTTGACATTCTCGCTCCACATTACTCCCGCATTAATCTCGTGATATGTCAACTTGACGCCAAAAGGTCTTGTACTATTCGAAAAAAACTGACCACAGCCCGACGTATAACTTGGTCCCATCGAACTTACGGATTGAAAGCTTGCGTTGCCTTTGATTCGGTCTACGATACTGCGTCGGCGCGGGGACTTACTGCGGTGGTCCTGGCGGTGCATAAGGCATCTTCTGCGGCTAGTGAGGTGGCAGCTGAGGAGGCGGCTGCGGTAGTGATTCAGCGCGTTGCTGCACATGATGTCGCGTTCCCGTCCAGCCTTCTCGCCACACGACGAGCTTGAGGAAATTCGTGCCGTACGCGGAGGTTCGAAATCTTTAAGAATCCGCAATGAAGCCTACCGGCAGAGTCATCTCTGAGCATAGAGGTGAACAACTCGCTTTCGTCTAGACCGTGCACCCCCTCGTCTTCTTCTATCCTTGCTTGCGAGACTTCCATATTTTGCATCCTCGCATTCATCCCAGATAGCGTTTGGAGCACCTGAGCCGGCGCTTCGGAGTTCGCGCTCCTTGCGTGAGCGGAAGGGATGAAGACCGCAGTAGAGACAAGGCCCTTTCGTGACCATTTTCCGGCGGTGCCCTTGCTGCGTTTTTCTTATTCTCTCTGTCTTCGGCATAATTACCTGTTCGATATTCGTATCGATAGAGAAGCAATAAAAAGCACTACAGCAAATTTATTCTGTCATTAATCTATTATATTTATCTACAAACTTCTTACTCGCCATCCTTCCCTCTGAAGCGCGCCTCACCCGCAATCGTACTAACGACAACACTCTGTTTTAACACACTTTCTTACCAACATGATGTGTATATCCCATCAAAGGAAATGCCTTTTGTCATGACTACTACTGCAGTGCCTGACAACATTTTAACCAAAACTTACAATCGAGGATCTATTTCCGTATTACTTCACTGAAACTTCAGATCATAGCACGTTGTGACATTTCAATCGAAGCAAACCTTGATAAATGGAGATTGATAGCTTCGTTTGTATTGAACAAATAGCCATTATGAATGTACAAACCAATACACGATCGAGTCTGATGATTCGCATTATGCCCAACAGTCGGCGGCGCCGTCGAAATAGTCATCGTATACTGATGTACCAACAACATGGCACTCGTCGCTTTGAAGTTGGACCATGCTAGACGATTGCTGCTCTTGTTGCAGCAACGACTAGTGTCGTGGTGTGTGCTGCGAATCACCTTTCGCACGGCACGTCGAACGCGCTTGCAAGACCGTTGATGGGAGGCGAGGACAAGTGTTAAGCTGTAGATACATCCCCTGAGATGCTAAGGTAACAGTAATCGACATGAGAGTAAAGGACACAAATAACACTGATACACACGTCAATACGTCAGTAATCGACATGAGAATAAAGGGCACACATAACACTGATACACACGTCAATACGTCAATCATGTTTCGAAGAAACATGATCGATAGTCTAGCACACCAGTAAGGTCACTCAATTGCGGTACATTCGGGTTCGATACGTTCAAATCGAATAGTGAATGACTTAAAATATGATTATATACGAATTCCGCACAGTCACAAGTTCCTTTTTAAAGTGTTTACATCCATGTTCGGCAGCGTATTGATGCTTAACGTCATTTTAAGCATGTTCATGAGTGCCATAGCGAGCGGCTATTAGGTTGAACTCCGCGTTCAACGCGAGAACCTTTAGTCATAGAATTTATCTTAAAATACGAGAAATTTTTTATTAAAAATGTTTGGCGATGTAACGGAAATATCAAAAAAATAACATTTAATATGGTTTAAAGAAAAAGAAATTGTTTAAATAAAACTATGTAACATCCATTATATTACATACTTTTAAATAAACAAGTTCAGAATCAAAAAGTATTTTACATGCATTAATTATACTATACGGTTATGATAAATTTATTCGACTTTTTTTTGTCACCCTCTCGTCCCTCCTTTTGCATATCGCTCGATATGCGCGAGAGGCCTGCACATGAACCCCCCCCTGCGCAGATCGTGGCCATAAAATGAACGATTTCTGCCAAATGTGGGTGGCTTTAGGATAAGATGGGAAAGGCGGTCTGTTCTAAGCGGCTAACGGCCAATCACAAAATGGAGGGAAAGTTCATGATAGGACTGTTTGAAGTGGTACACACTAATTACGTGCTGAAGTGTTGTTGGTTTTGCGAATGGTGCTGGTATTGAGACGTTCGCATATGGTTGGTGCCGGTATTGTGACTTACGTTTTGTTTCCAAAGGAAAGGTCGACCCCCAAATTTAGTTAAGCACCCACCACCCCTTAAACATCACATTAATCATCATACTTTCCATTTTTTGACCGATCAAATATAACGTCGTGTAGCTAAATATTGGCAGCCATTCCAAAACAATGACCGCATCCCAGGCGTAATCTGCTTGTTTCGTTGGCTTTGCCGTCACTCGAGCCTGTTGCTGCTCGATGAAGCCACAAGAGCTTTCGATCCTGAGACTAATGCATCTATTGCGTCTACTCTGCACACCTCTTGCCTAAGAGGTGTGCAGAGTAGACACAATAGATGTCTCTGACCATCATCTCGGTTGTATACATTTCTAATACAAACTAAATCTGCTTTTTAATGCAGGACGAAATGCAGAAGAGAGCCGTTTCGATGTTTTGAAACAGCAGAGCGGTCTGTTTTACGACATGTTCCACAAGGTGGGTAAACCTATAAGGGGATGAAGCCGCTGTCCACACGGAAAAGATTTACGTGGGGACGGCGGCTTCGTCCACTTATGTTTTATCAAATTTGTGAGTATGTTATAAATGTCAAGGGCCGTGGTCGTTCCCCCGCGCAACGTAGAAACACGGATTAAATCATACCGGATATACACTGAATCAGTTGCACAAGAGTGCACTGACATTGCTGCAATTTACCAAAAATATGAGCTCTTCCGTGGTGCATGAAGTTGGCGACCATTTTTTCTAAGTCGGCACGACTTCATCAAACCGCTATGGTTACCTAAATTCCCGAAGTAGTCGCAAGGCAATAAGAATAAGGCAGCAGCACACCGCTCGGAGAACAACAGCGTGGATGGTGATCAGTGGTGTTCTAGCCATGACAACCAGGGTGTGGCAGCGTAAAATTTTAGTGAGGAAGATGTAATAAGCACTTTGCGCTGTATCCAGCGTTTTTTTTAATGTTGAAGCAGCTAATGACGCCGTGATATGATGTCAATATTTGTGCACTTAAGTATTGGTTGGCTGGTTAGCTCGCTACAAGATCGACCTGTTCCGAAACGCTCGTAATTTTCTCATTTAACCAAGTCATTTCTCGGTCCAATGAAGTAGCTGGATTATAAATTACCTTACGTCGCCTAATTAAGGAATACAAAGCATGGTCGATTTTAGTATTTTTTATTTGCAAAAAAGGTTGTAAATTACTTCTAGGACCGGTTACATTCTTAACCCCACCAATCAAAAGGCGTGAATCGAGACAAAAAGGGTAACATGTTGGGGTGGTGGGTGGTAAACGAAAACATGGGGGGGTCATTAACGTTTTACCTTTTTTCTTTCAGACAATGATGTCGATGACCTACAGTGCAATTTAATATGGAAGGTGCTGTCTAATAGCCGTGTATAACAACTCATAATCCAGCCTTCTCTTCGTGGATATTTTTATACTTGCAATGTTGCTCCATACAATGTCGCAGACTGTATTTCCTTAATGATTCGTTGCCTTGACAAAATTAAAAGCACGGACAAAATCAGCTGTGTCAAAGCTGAGCCAGTTCGACGTTTATTCTTGCAAATGATGGAGTATTAATCAGCTGACATTGTTAATAAAGGCTTTCGAGCTCGGTCATAAAGCGTATAAACAGATTCGTCCTGCCATCTAAACTACAGTCTGCAATTTCACAAAGAGACAGATACATGCTCATCTGCGCATAGATCTGCAGGCATAAATCAGTACTACGATTGAATTTACCACGGAATCCATGAGATGTACATTACACACATTGCTGAGCAATGTATTAAAACCGTGCAACAGATGCCGCACGCAATCAATTCCCACGTGAGCATGTGGAATCCACAAAATCTTTGTTTCAGATGTCTAACAATTGATAAGTTGGGATGTATTCAGGTATGCTAGCAACCCGCTATATCCAGCTTGGTAGTGATCAAAATCACCACACATTCATCTAAGTTACAATCTTAAGCTATTATTGTTCCACGAACCACGCATCAGCGCAGCGCGAGGTGTTTTTGTTAAAGATTTAAGTCTTTTATGTGTATGTAGGACACTTGCATCTGCGTGCTCGTTTGTAGAAGTATCGATCCAGTGTATGACGTCGTTGACGAGGTGTGCTGCCAGCTCCTTAACGACTGTTTGGCCGGCATAGAATCGTACTTAGACAAAGCTTCACGTTTTATGGCCACTTGCTCCGCATAGTCACCCTTTTTTGTAGTCAAGGTAGTGATGAACCTAGCTGACCATAGCTAGATTGTCGGCCAGATCTCTTGCCACGTCATTTTATTGCGCCAGTTGGTTTTTACGTGGTAAGTGATAGGTCCTGGGTTACGAGAGCACTAAAGCACTGCCCCCTACGACATGTAAAGACGAAAAAACGCCTTCTTGCGCGGCGGATGCCGTGCACGAGACCTCGATATCCTGCGAAATTATAAGTAGTGGTCGGATTTCCATATACCATTCTGACCACCCACACGATGCAGGATGTGTGAGTAGATGCGTCACTTGACATTGACGGAGCCAGACCCTCCAGGCTCAGGATTTCCTCGAGATATCCCGTCGAAGGAAAGCAGGTATAACACACATGGCTGGCCTACCAGCCGTATTGGAGGCAGTGGAACTAGTTTGTCGTGTAATGGTAGCGGCCGGCCAGTGCCGACCGCACCTGCGCTAGTATCTAACCATCCTCTCCACCTTTCGGTTGGTATACAGAGCTTCAAAATCGTGTTAGCACATGCCTAACCGCGTTACATACAGACACACAGACGTACAGACAGACACACACAGATAAGTACGATTTATAAGTTCGACATTTAACCTTGCACACGGTCACTAATGGCTTTATCCTTCGGGCTCAAGTTGAGTTTCCGAGGGATAAAAATTCGTACAATGATACTCCTGATCAAAGGAAATCAAATACCTGAATGAAAATCAAAGATGAGGGTGATTAAGTGTCTGGGCTGTGGCAGCCATTCGGATGGCCATTTGAAGTACCATCCGCACTGACCGTGCAGGCAACAGAGATCCGTAGTAAAATAAAGAAGAGAAGTTGACGTTTATCAGCGTAAAAATTTCAACCTTAAAAATTCTCTAGAAATTAGATTAACACTGACCTTCTTTTACTTATGATCCTAAATTTCTTTCTACGTACTGTCTTCGATCCATACTGTAGATATTCTTTTATCATATTAAGTAATGTCTAACAGCAGCGTAAATTATGACTTCTTGATCCTTACACATTTGTTTCGTCTGTATTGAACACATCTTCGACTATCCACTAAAGAAGTTGATGGTGTTTTCAGGTAGACTAAGGCGTTCATAAAACAAGAGCCTTAATTTCGATGAGTTAATTAATCAGGCTAAAATACTTGCTTGGCATTAAGGCACCCAAGTTTACATGTCTTTCTCCGTGGTTGGAGTATGAGCGAATGTGGGGCGTCTGATGATAAATTTGTTATCCGTTTACATTCTAGATCAGTGCACATCTTGATTACTCCAGGGATGGCGTTCTGAGATATCTGGACTCCAAACTTGCTGATAGACAAATTTGCCAGCACACTGGCTCCTTTCTTGAATTCTAGGCCTTGTGCTAACAAATTTCGAGCCTTTGTGCATTTGTGACAGTGCTCGGGATGTGTTGATACGAAATTGAAAATATGGGACCAAGCTATGGAGCCCGCCCTTTGTTATAAGTAATCCAGTTCGAAGAACTGAATCAAGCTGCATATGTCTATACAACAGCAGCAGCAGCTGAAGAAGAAGTATGATGCTGTTAATGTCCAAATTATATCAGCACTGTAGGCAATGAAAACGCGATCAGCCTTTGCTAATGAGCGTCCAGCATTTGCTTATGTGACCATCTTCATGTTTGTCGATATTTATCCAGTTAGTTGCGTCCATCACAATAGTGACTCAGCCATAGAGTGACACGTATCATGCTAATCGACCAGTGAGGGGGGAAAAGTTAGATTGTACTAAATATATGAGAGGTTCACCTAGCCACGTTGTTTATAGACAGACAGAAGATCGGACAGACGCACACAGATAAGTACGATTTAGAAGTTCGGCATTCAACCTTGCGCACAGTCACTAATAGCTCCAACTTTCGGACTCGCAATAAGAGGAAACCGCTGATTTACTAAGTTTTTCTTTCGTGTTTCCACCAAGCCTATGAGTTACCTGAGGAGCGACTGTACCTATTTACCTATGAGGGGGCGAGGCTAAATCGTAATTAGTCCTTGTGAGGTTTACCTAGCCGCATTATTTGCAGACACACAGACACAAATGTGTACGATTTAAAATTCGGGCATTAAATCTTGCGCACAATCTTAGGCACACCCTTGCGCACACGGCTCACAATAACAATAACCGCTGCGAGTACAAGATGCGTAAGGCCTTGGCGGAGCACGACGCGCGAATCAATTTTTGCATGCAATGAGAAGCACGATTCTCTTGGAAGCGTCCTGCCATCGACGCAGCACAATATTGAGGCGCGCGCCAGCGGAAGAAATCAACTCTATCGTCGTGATGCGTCTAAGCCCCTGCAAAGTTGTGAAGACGCAAACGTGCCGTGTGCGAGGCTTCCACTATTAGAACGTTTTGCTACAGATTATCATTCGTGAACACGTTGCAGATGCAGAAGAGCTGTGCTTCGAAAGCTTCTCACAACGCGATTCTGCGCAACGCAAGGTACAGCAACATAAACAATTTAACGAAAGATAAGCGGTAGCATGAGTGTTAAGTACGAGCTGGTGTGTAGGATGTGACCTAGAAATGGTGACCAGATCGGCCACTCGCTCACTATGCCGCCCAGATTTACCGACACAGAGCTTGTTCATAAAGTTCTTAAAAAATGTAAATTGAGCTCTCGCTTAAACTTTTTCGAGTCAAAGACCCCATCCCCGGCCTAAGTGACTCCTTCGAGGACCCGACGAGATGTCGCCTCCATCAGATTGTTGATATTACTCTTGCCAAAGTCACAACTTGTCGTAGGGAGCTTCGCATGTCATTAAAGGTGCTTTACATAAAAGTAGGGCTTCACGATTGGTCCTGTCTGACACGATCTGTCGTACCATGCGACTATAAAAAGCGGACGAAACGACTAAAGAAAGAGGGGCTCAAGATTAGGTCAGCAAAAGCGCACATCTGCTAAATATAGAAACGGTCGAATCAGAATTGGGTATTTTTAACAATGTTTTCTCATATTAGAACACTTCCGTCTCCTAATAAAGCTCTTCTTCAACGCCCAATTAGTCGCGAGTCCCACAAACAGTCGGACCAGTTCGTTCCTTGGAGATTAAGAGACACTTCGCTCTCAGACTCCAGCCAACAGACGTGATGACGCCGCTCTTCCGTTCCGCATCGCGCTCGAGGTCCAGCAGCTCGTCCCGCCTCCTGTCGTCCGCAGTCGAGCGCGCGGTGCCATCCACACGCCGACGTCTGCGCGAGTTGCCGCCTCCAATAAAAATGGTTTGCCACATGTCACTGAGTACACCGTATCGTATTTAGTGTGGTCTACGCTAACTGTGATTTATTTGTAAAATGTATCCATCAGACAGACGCCGCGACGTTGCGTATCAAAGAGCTGCTGGCCAATAAACCGAACGCAATTGGCATCCGCCTGGGGGTGAAAACACGTGCGTTCGCTTTCATGTCGTTGAGCTGATGGGTACATTTGTTGACTGACTGGTGGGTATTGGGTACACAACAAACATTCGTAGGTGGATGCAATGGCTTGTCGTATACGATGAACTACGCCGACAAGAAGGAAAAGATGGAGGAGGAAGTGAGCAAGAATGGTGAGCAGGAGACAAGGTGGTGGTTGGTCTTTGAGTCGCTACTGACAGTTGAGGCTGTTTGTTGGGGATGCTATTCTACTGTTGTTAGGTATTCGTGTTTTTGTCGAGCCCAAGGCACTTTTCCACGTGGTTGGCACGACCATGGACTTCCAGGTTCGATGACTCGATGCTGTGCCAGCTGATGGCGTTATCTTGTGCCTTATCATTTACTATTTGCGTGCAGACGACTCCAGTCTCGTCCGAGTTTGTGTTTGAGAATCCGAATGCAAAGGGTAGCTGCGGCTGTGGCGAGAGCTTCAATGTGTAGATCGTGAGCGTCGTCAGGTGTTGCTTTACGAGAGAACGAGAGAATGTGCGGAAGACATAACAGCATTTTTATTTGCAGCCGCGATATTGGTAAGAACTTCTCTGTTCGCGACAATGGCCACGTGCATGCTTGCTGTGCTACTGCGCTCTGGGACTAAGATAATGTCTGACGCCACTTGTATAGGTCATGCAATGGTAAAGTGGGTGCCGTTGATGCGTACTGATCCAGCAAGTACGATCGATGCTGCTGGGCATCTCGTAGTCATGCTTTACGATCCTAAGCATTGATTTCACGACTGCTTTTCAGGATGAGATGGTCATTGACAACAACGTAACAGGCCACACAAAAGTGTTACGCAGCAGCGACCTACGGCACATGAATATCAAATATGTTTTGCTAGACGTGGTAAGCTTTCCTGTACTTGCGCCCAGCTTTGTTCACCGTAGGACATGCCTTGAGTCGATGAAGACCAGTTCGAGTCCGAGCTTCATGATGCAGCCAGTCTGCTTCGAGACTGCAAGCGTGTCAATCTTTTGCCATCCACCATACGCCGCTGAGCGCTAATGTGCGTAAGACGTCTATCGTGAGATTTCACGCAACCTCGTTCGACGAACTACCAATTTTGTTGCCGAAGCTGGTTCATCGCGGCGCTACTGCACTGATGCTACAGACACGCAACCTGGCTTGCTTCGTTCCTACATCAAAGCAAAGAGCTGCACGCACGCAAAAGACGAACGACGTGTGTCTGACGACAGGAATCGCGTTTAATGCCAACAGAGTACGTCTTTGTTGCAAAGACAAGCTAGAAGCGTCGTAACAGGGTTAGCCAAAGCAGCGGTTATATTTGATCGACTCTAGACACAGCCAGCCCTTACTCAAGCGTTGCATCAGTTAACCTTCGCCTTACTGAAGTCCATCTCCGGGTGCTGCGCCATGAACTTCTTCAGAACGTCCTGCTTCTGCACGTCGTCGCTCGTGGGAAGACCCATGGCCTTTTGACGCTGATCAAACATCATTTTTTCCACAGTTTGGCGCGTGTCCGAGTCCAGGTCACCAAGCTTCGAGTTCTCAGGCTGCACCTTTTGGGTGTCAATCTCTGCGTCTCCCTGGATGATAGTCTTCCACCACTCCATCTGATTGTCTTTCTGCAGGTAGATACAAATGCGATTGCCATCTTCCAGCGTCCAGAAACTGTCATCAACCTTCACTTTGCTGTACAGAGGTCCATCTACGAACGTATCCCCGCCCCGCATGCCGACTTTCATCTTTTCAGCACGAATCTCCACGTCCACTTGTCGGGCTTTCGTGCCTTCAGGGACCGCAAAGTTAACCTGAGCTTCCTGCAGCGTCTGCGTCCACACGTACTTGTCCGTCTTCCCTCCATTGCCAGCAAGAGCTACAGTCAGCCACACACGCATTGAACAACGAACACGGCATCACAAGGACAACAACAGCATCAGTCAGCAACACAGGAAGGAGAAGACCCACGTGACAACATCCAGAGCATCTCGTCAGCCGACACCGTACGCGGTCCACTGTCGTCCTGTCCTTCTGGAGCCACCGGCAATGCTGCCTTCCCGACAGAAGTCGCTGTCGTCCCTATCTCCTCGTCCTCCACGATCTCTTCAAAGCGTGACGGACGCTCCACTGGCGTCTCCTTCTTGTGCTTTTGCTCCAGGTCCAGTTTCCGTCTCTTCTCGGCTTCCTGCTGCTTCTTCTGTGCCTGGTCCTTCTCCACCAGTGCCGCCTGTTTGCGCACGCTCTTGAGAATCGTGTCCTCAATCACCTGCGGCTCTGCGCCCGTGAAGAAGTCCGTCTTGCGGCGGAGGAATGAGAACACCGTGTCAAGCAGTGGCTCAATGCCCCGCTGCGACTGAGTGATGGTCAGCAACATGCTGTCGAAGCGGTCCGTCTCGCTCATGACTTTGCGCTTGGACGTCCAGTTGGATAATGAGCGACATGGAAGGCCGAGTGGATGTTTTGTGGTGTGAGCACATTTCGGCCAATGGTTGGTCAGCGCGATGATTGACATCACAAGGTGATGAACGTTGCTACAAGCTTTTTAGGATCAACCGACAAACAAACAGCGCCATAATTGTGGCGGCTAGATATGGAGCAAAACGTTATGCAGAAGAGGTGGCCTCATCTTGCAAGAATGCAGCACAAGTTAAGAATGTTGTTTGATGCTAGATGAGAGCGGCATCGTGTGTACTCCGTACCATAGAGTGCTAAGGCAGACAAGAAGCTAGTCATTCTCGCTGCACTGGATATGGCGCGGCACCAGATCGAAGGGGCATACCTCAAGGATCTCGAGGAGGTTGGGACAGCTCGCCAGCTTGCAGACTGGTGGGATAGATGGAATACGCGGCTTAGATTTTCGCTTCTTCCTGCAACCAAAGCTGCAAGTCAGCGTATGACGCGAAGCTACAAGCAGAGGCTCCAGTGACTGCATGAGAGGCTTGACGACGCTATTCTTGCTGATCCAGCCGAGGCTATCCAGAATATGCATATCACCGAGCCGTACGACCAGTCCGCCGAAGTGGTTTTCCTTTCGGAAATTTTGCCGACAGGTTGCAGAAAGCCGACGAATGTGGCAGCGAGCGAAGCGCGAGCGTCTTCTAAACTCAGCACACGTCATGCCCAGGCGAGACAACCCTCCGATTATTTTTTAGGGTAGCCACAAAGTTCCAAGACAACACGATTGTGGCACCAGAAGGTCAAGATTCATTCGGGCCCAAGTGTTCTTAAGAATCTCGCGGACGAAATGGTAGACGGGTGTGGGATCTGTAATGCTCCAAAACTTTACTTCCTCAACAGACACTTCTTCCAGTCTTGCACAAGCCTTTCCTCCAACTGATCTCGACGACTCAGCAGTCACGATGACTATCTCCACAGAGAACGTACGTACTGCTTTAACTAAGCTCAAACGGGGAAAAGCGGCAGATCCCGATGAACTGAAGTACACATTCTACAGGGACTTCGCTGATAAAAATCGTGCCTATCCTCGCAACTCTTTACAGCAGATGGGTAGCGTGCAGTCTTAGTCTTCAATCACTTGGACAAACGAACATTCTGAGCTTAAAAATGTCGGCTGTTCCTTCTCTTCCGCTGCACCTTCGCCCCATCACCCTGATCAACAGTGACTATAACCTGTGCACCACTGTTTTCTTCTCGCGTCCGTCCCTTGCTTGCTCAGACGGTCCACCCCTCCCAAGTCGTCCTTGTCTCTCAGCGGTCAATAAGCACGGCCCTCGACATTTTTGATGTGGCCAACATAGCAGACGCATCAGACTCAAGCCAGACTGGGACGATAGCTCTACTTCTCAATTTTGCAAAAGCCTGCGACACACTCCAGCTCCCGTTCTTACTGTCGGTGATGAATTGGCCCTGCTTTTCTTTGTGGTCTCCATCGGTGGTGGCGGCACTCTATCACAAAACAACTTTCTATTTCATCGTCAACGTCTACCGCTCAAAAAAAAGATGTTCGTTAAGGTATACGTCAAGGGTGCCCTTTAGCTTCGATCGTTTTAACCTTGCTCTCGATAGCGTATACAGGATTACAGGCTCATTCAGAAATAGGCGGCGTGATGATTCGATCTGACGACAAGGCAAACGTGGTAAATATGTCTGGGTTGCCGACGATACGGCCGCGTATATCCGCCAATGCCGGGCGGATGCATGTGATACCGATTCTGGATAAATTCTCTGGCGTCTTGGGGCTTTGTACAAACCGAGCTAAATTGATGGTATTTGAAATTAATCCTCAAGGATTAGACGAGCCCCTGGATACACAAGTAATCACTCTTATTGCGCCGAGGGACTTGTGTCGGCACCTTGGTGTTATGGTCGGGCAGCAAGAAGATACAGCCGAGAACTGGACATTCTGTATCCTATTTCTTAGGCGTCGCTCGTCCTTGCTCGATTAAAGACGCAATCTGTGAAACGGCGGGCTCACCTGGCTATAGCGGTAGCGGTCCCAAAATTATCTATTTAGCACGTTATTTTTGGCTTCCTCTAGGAGTAGTCGAACAGCTTAACGGATCAATCCTGGACTATATCTGAGGGCGAAGGAAGGCAAACGTGCCAGATCTTATGTTTCACGAGAAATAAGCACGCGCTTCTCTGGCTCACCCAACCTTCGGACAGATACTTTACTGCCTGGAGTAAGGTGACTTACAGAGGAGTGTCACACGAGGCAGCAAAACAATTTCTCCAATGCTGGGAGGACGTCGGCAATTTTCGCGCTTGACCCGAACTCCGGGGCGGGAGTACAACGGACGTTGGGAGAAAGGCTCGTTACATGACCGGAACAATCCATTCAGGTTGTAAGGTAAAATTGCCACACACTCAGCCCCTCTCTCGGAGAGGGCAGCCAGTTGGTGGGAGGAGGACGAATTTGTCATCTCCTACTCCTCTTCATTTCCCAGAAGAGTACTTGAAGAGGGTGCCATGCCAGAGATGATCCAGAGGTTCTGGCACACGTTTGTCTGGTCAGCGATCCCCTGGATCCGAGAACAAAGCGGCCACATGATGACCAGACCCGCATACGACAGGATAGCAGTCTGCACTTTGGCACGCCTGGGCATTACACGAACGGGACCTGCTGAATGTGTCATCACAATACACAGGCCTACCCGCCATCTTCGACCCCATACGATGGCAAATTACGACGGTGGGCTACAGCTCTTCTGCTATCCTCACCGGACATACCCATAGGATCCATTCAGCATATTCATATTCCACTGCGTCTTTGACATGCTCCAACAGTTCTAGCGACTTATGCTTAGAGTTATCAGGGCGGGGAGTGATTGCGGGCAGACCACTGGACGCCGAACACGATCCAACACAGCAAGTTAATCTGATTAGGCAGAACTATGGCATACACTGGTGCAGCACGGTATTTCTGCCGGTATTTAACATCAACAGCCCGAACGACCAGCAGCGGATAGATCATAAACTAAAAGCACGGTGTTTTGTCTATTAGGCGCACCCACAGTTACACAGATTTCCGTGACCGGTCCCTGACACTATGTCAAATGAGTCTGTCATAGCTGCGCTCAAAAGGCAAGCTTTCGAGTATCACAAAAAGGGGATGGCCAGACCGTTGGGAGATTTTTTGGACCGATGGGAAGCGCGAGCGAGCACGGCTGAAAGGCAATGTGCTGCGCTTAAACAAGCACCTAGACAAGCCTGCGTTTATAGTCACGGTCTGACAATTTTTCAAGTCTGGACCGGGTACCGTATCGCAACTCGGCAACTCAATATTCACCACGCTTGGAGATCCGCCAACAAAGAATTCCGGAAGCGGCCGGGCTGTCGGGGTAACACAGAGACCCCGGCTCATTTCTTCTGGGAGTATCCGTACGCTCAGGTGCTATGGGCCAATTAGTGAGTCACTGGACAGATGAGCGTCCATCCATACAGCGAACTCAGCAATTTTCAACGCGTGCGCATGCAGACGGGCACACTTTGTACCGCCATTGTAACGGGGTGAATCGTTACATAACAATTTATAAGAAATTGTTAATAGAATATAACTATAAGAGTTATATTCTCAGAATATTGTCATAAGGACAAATATTCTGTAGCACTTCCAAGTAGTTCCTAATTGGTTGATATAGGCCATTATATCAACCAACGAAGACGCTCCACGACAGACGCACGCAATGAGTGGTGAGCAGATAACTGATTTACACATTTGTATTTAGACATAGTTAGATGAAGATAAATAGTGATTTATTGCAGACATTAACTATTATAAATACAGTTCTACTTTTTACTCTAACCAAGTACTCGCTTCTTCTTACCGTCTTCCTCTGCACGTACGAGTGTACGTGAAGTTACGAGGCACCGCCTTATTCTGTTATCAGAATAAGCAGCTTGTACTGTCACCAGTACAAGCTTCAGGGTGCCCCGTTACACCTGGTAGCACTTCGTAGTCCGTCCAAGGACCGCGTTCACATCCAACATGAATATGTTGGATGATGAAGATGACCAAAGCTTTCACGCTACGCGTGACGGCTACTCCCATTTGAGTGATGTCGAATGGGATGCGGTTGAACGAATGGGTTCGACCATGGGCATCCATGCTGTTAGCGTCATGCTAGAGGCTCTCAATAGAGATGCCCAACATGCTACTATCGCCAAGTTCATTCAAAATGAACTTGACGCAGAACGCGAGAAAGTAGCCTTGCTTCACCAACAAGGTTCTCAACAAGCAGAGTTGTTGAGAGAACAAGGTGCTCAACAGTTTGAACTGTTGAGACAGCAGCAGGCTGCTGCTGGCGGGTCGATGCACTCGCGTCGGCCCGAGACTTTGAAGATTGACATCTCAAAGTATAGAGGGGTCGAAGAAGACTCCCTCTTGAGATGGTTCGTCGAATTGGATGACGCCATAAGGGCGCGTCGCATCGACGACGGGGATATGCAAGTTGCATTTGCCCAGTCAAATCTGGCAGGACGTGCCAAGACTTGGGCACTGGGGCTCAAGCTGCACGACCCATATGCGTTTGGGTCGTTGGAAGTCTTCAAGTCGCGGCTCAGACAAACGTTTGAACCGCCTAGAGCTGATTTCAGAGCTCGAACCGAACTCTTGAAGCTCAAACAGGGTAAGCGTGATGTGCACGCTTACGCTCAACATATACGACATCTCACGAGTTGTATAAGTTCCAATCCGGTGGATGAACACACGTTGGTTTCGGTGTTCATGCAGGGTCTTGCGGATGGTCCCGTCAAGACTCACCTGTTCCGGCTTGAACTAGATTCACTAGAACAAGCCATTTCCATTGCGGAGCAGGAAGACTTCAGTCTGAGACAGGCTCGCGCCAGCTCGGCATCATATCGTCAACCGAGACGATATGACAACGGAGGTCCAGAGCCGATGGAACTCTGTTATGTAGAGAGCGAGAAGGTTCGCTCTACAGGCTACAAGAAGTTGCAGAGATGCAACAGATGTCAAAAGACAGGACACTACGCTTACGAGTGTAGTGCCCCTCGTCCAGTGTCTCGCGACACTGGGCGTAGTGACCGTCCGCCCATGAGAAAGGGGCAGGGACGAGGGTCCGCAGTTGGTGCAAAGACGCAACAACGGGATGGACCGTCAAAAAACGGACAGGATCAGTAGGTGCGGAGCACCCTACTGATCCAGCAACGTCAAGAGAATTTGTAGGCCTCTTGATGAAGGTTGCTCCCAACACACAGACATTGTGCGTTGCTGCTCTAGGTAATGAGATCTCACTCATTACCTTGAAACTCGAAGTGACGAATAAGTTGTCCCTTCGAGCTCTAGTCGATTGTGGGGCGTCCAACAATTTTGTGCGACGCCAATCGCTAGAAGATGGTCACTTTAAATTCAGTGAATGTGACACACCTCCTACGAGGATGACGGTACGTCTTGCGACAGGCGCATCCGTAACCGTCATGAAGCGTATAGTGAAGATTCACTATACGCTAGAAGATACCCAATACGACGATGACTTTATCGTATTGGATTTGGATGACAAATTTGATGTCATCCTTGGAATACCGTGGCTCAGAAGGTACGAACCACGGGTAAACTGGCAACATCGGACAGTAACGATGCCTGCCGCTTGTTCATCAGATGGCCATCTGATGAACGTTTTGGAGCGTCCACAAGCGTGTGGATGTACTACGAGTGAGTGCGATGGCCTCACTTGTGGTACGGTCGTTAGTACGACTGCACAAAACCTTAGTGCACCAAACGGTTACACTTCGGAGCAAAGTTCCGGCGGCTGTGAGGAAACACAGGCTGCGCCGAAGGTCCACCACTCGAATAAGTCGGGTGGACTGGGACAAAGATGTATCCCTAGAGGGGAACATCTAGAAGAGAAACAATCGATCGCTCAGGTTAAGCGAAACGATAATCCTAGATCGACTGGAGAGTCTTTCGTAGAGGATCTCGCTGTGGTTGCGCAACCCCAGCTAGAGGAAGTAAAGGGAATAAGTCCCAAGATTACAAATACGGCGGAAATAAGTTCCCCGAAACCCGCGGGAATAAGTCCCCGGGAAGACGAAGGAATAAGTCCTTCGAAGCCTGAGGGAATAAGTCCCCAGGAAATGACAGAGACATTGAATGTCATAGTCAATAACGGATCATGTGTAGGCGCTTATACACTTGATCTGATTGCGCCTCCGAAGTTGACTTCGGAGATCACTCAGTTGCCAACGCTCGAACATAAAAGGTTCTTGCGTGATCTGCGTAGTGGCAAAGTCAAGCAGATCTGCATACTCGTCGCTGACGACGAGTGTGTAACCGACACAAGGTCAGCAACAGTGTTTACTGAGAACGAGAGAGTTCTCAGTAGTTCATCTATGGACGAGAGTGTCCTAGATGAAAAGACACGAATTGAGCGATATGAGTCCCAATCATGGGAATCGCTCAAGGAAAATCCTCTCTATGAGGATTTGGTTGAATTCAAGGATGTATTCCCTGAAACTGTTCCGTGCGAATTACCGAAGGATAAAGGTATTCGACACGAAGTCGAGCTTAAACCAGGCTAGAAGTACTGTGTCATGAAGCAGTGGCCACTGCCTCGTGAACAAGTACTTGCGATCGACAAGTTCTTTGCCGATCGTTTAGCAGCGGGCCATGTGAGGGAATCAACTTCCCCACATAGCTCTCCGACCTTCTGTGTGCGAAAAGCAACAGGAGGGTGGCGGATAGTGCACGCGTTCAACAAATTGAACGCTGCAACGGTACCGGCTCAGACGCCGATACCGAGGAAGGACGTAATCATTGATGGTATGTCAAAGAGTACCATCTTTTCGTCCATGGATTTGATGGATGGCTTCTATCAAATCCTAATGCGGGAACGGGATATACCCTATACCGCAGTTAGCACGCCTAGCGGCATGCTCTGGGAATGGCTAGTAATGCCATAAGGGCTCAGTAATGCCCCTGCCACGTTCAACAGATGTGTATCACATCTGTTGAGACCAGTACGAGAGTTCGCGCCGAGTTATTTCGATGACGTATTCATCCATAGTCGAGCTATGGATGGAAAGTCGGACGTTGAGGTTCAAGGTACCACGTCCGACAAGTTCTTACAATCATGCGAAAGCATCAATTGTATGCAAACCTCAAGAAGTGTATATTTGCAGCAAGCGAAATACCACTTCTTGGGTGCATCGTTGGTAAGAACGGTGCACGTCCTGATCCCGAAAAGATCAAGGCGATCACCGACTGGCCTGTGCCGGTCGATGTCAAAGGTCTTCGAAAATTCCTTGGGCTAGCGGCGTATTTGCATAAGTACTCACGCAATTACGCCGAGATGACTGTGCACCTCTCTCGTTTGTTGAAAAAGAACGAGAGGTGGTTATGGAACGCTGAATGTCAACGCTCCTTTGAGGGTATCAAGCAGAGCTTGATACAATCCCCAGTCCTAGCAATAGCCGATCAGGACAGGCCATTTCATGTGGTCTGTGATGCCAGCGATTTCGCAATCGGCTGTGCATTAATGCAGTACGATCTTGAAGGCGTTGAACGCGTCGTCTGCTATCAGTCGCTTCAGCTGCAACCAGCTGAGCGGAACTATCCAGTGCATGACAAGGAACTCCTTGCCATGAAGTATGCACTCGCGAAGTTCAGAGTCTATCTCTTAGGAGATAGACCCTTCGTTGTTTACACTGACCATGCGTCATTACGCACGGCAGTGAACAGCCCGCACCTTTCACAACGAATGGCGCGGTGGTTGTCATTCTTTGCAGAATACAACTTTACGGTCGAGTACAAACCAGGACGACTTAATGTCGTCGCTGATGCACTCTCACGTCGTCCCGACTTTGAAACAGTCGCGAAACCCAACCGTGAGACAGTCACTGTTGCGGTTATGACGTCCTCAGTCCCATCTACAACGTTGTATGATGATGTGAGGCGGGCATACGCCCAAGATGGTGAGATAGTGAAGTTGTTGTCACATCTCTCCCAACCATCCCGAGAATCGTTGAAACGATTGTCGCCTGCGTATCGATCTGCATCAGATCGATACACTACTCGTAACGGTTTACTGTACTATACAGCCGTTTCTGGTGACACACCACGTGTTGTCATTCCAGATGATACTGATCTGCGTTTGCGGATCATGTTCGAGTATCACGATGCTCCTATAGGAGGACATCGTGGCCGAGAGAAAACATATCTCACGGTAAGTCGAGACTTTCACTGGCCCCGCCAGTATCAGTTTGTGCGAAAGTATGTTCGCGCATGCGAAGTCTGTCAACGAGTGAAGTCAAGTCCTTCACTGCGTGCACCTTTACAGCCTCTACCGGTTCCGGCTGAGTGCTGGGAATCCATCTCAATGGATTTCGTCTTCGGGTTACCCAAAGACGCACGCGGGAATACGGGTATCCTCGTATTTGTTGACAGATTCAGCAAAATGGTACACCTTGTGGCTGTACCAGAGACAATCACGGCAAGTGGCTGTGCTTGTGTCTTTATTGATACCATCTTCCGACTTCATGGGTTGCCCCGTGAACTCGTATCAGACAGAGATCCACGATTCACTGCTGATTTCTGGCGTTCCGTGTTCAAATCACTCGGAACGCGCTTGAAGATGTCAACATCTGATCATCCAGAGTCGGATGGTCAGACGGAACGTGCCAATCGTGTCCTTGAAGAGATAATTCGAGGATACGTACACTCCTTTAAGAGTTGGAGTGAGTTTTTGCCAATGGTAGAGTTTGCCATCAATAACTCGGTGCATGTGTCCACGACACATACACCGTTTTACGTGAATGGCTTGCGCCATCCGCGTGTACCCACCTTACTAGAGTGTAACTCTGGTTTAAGGGGGGAGGGACTCGCGCGAGCAAAAACCGATTTGGTTCACGCTCATCACGCTCTGACGAAGAAGTCATTGCGTTTGATGCCGATATCGATAACATCGATATCGAAGAAGATGATGCCAGTGAGAGTGCGGAAGCCCTCACTGAAGACAATGATCCCAGTGAGAGTGCGGAAGCCCTCACTGAAGAAAAGGTTGTTGTCGCTGCAGTGCGCTCACAGCACACTGAAGCTAACGAGTCATCAGATGAGTTCATACTGGCTCGTGAAACGGTAGTCCGTTTTGTGCAAGACTCCATCGCCGAAGCGGTGGATAAGCAAAAGCAAAACGCTGACAAGAATGGAAGGGCAAACACTCTTTTATTTAATAAAGGTGACTTAGTCCTACTGTCTACGGTTAATCTACCAAAGCATGTAGTGACTAACTTGGGTAGCAGTAAACTACTACCCAAGTACATTGGCCCATTTCGTGTATTGCACCGCCTAGGCAATGCATACACGATCGAGTTACCACGTAAGATGCGAACGCATCCCACGTTTTACGTTGGTCGGCTTAAGCCGTACCATCAGTACGCTGCTTCTTCCGATGAAGAACGCCCTTGCGCTCAAGCATCTCGCAGAGAGCCTTGTGCTCCCGATGGTGGGCATCAACAAGGGTCTGAAGAGCAGTTATCTCAGCCCGAGACCGATCAACAATCCCACGAGCTACCCTTAGTTCGTCACGAAGAGATGTCAGAGATCTCTCGTTCTCGAGCTGAGCAAAGGCAAACTCAGCTCGATGCTTCGAGGCAGTGTCCGCCATTTGGAGACGCCTATTCCGCTCATGTTCGAGATCGTCGCGTAACCCTTGCGTTACGCGATCAAAGAAGCTCTCGGGTACACACCGATCCACATAATCGTGTGGAGAGCGTCTTTCCTCCTCCTCCACCTCCATTAGAGGACTCTCGCGGTGGCCAGCGCTATCTAGTTGAGCAGCTGTTGAACCACCGCGACGTGAACGGACGTCGGACGAGTTACCTCGTCCGGTGGCGCGGCTATCCCCCGTCCTGGGATTCTTGGGAGCCCCGCTCCCAATTGATGGTTGACGTACTGGGTCTGGTCGAGCAGTACGACGCGGCACATCCTGTGCCGCAGAAGGACCGCCGGAGAAAGTCTTCCCGGCACGGTCGTAAAGGGATTTCAGGTTGTCAATCCCTTCGTACATCTCAGTAGAGACACGTACGCGCCACCACGGGCTGGTAAGGAGGTAAGCCTCCTTAGGTGCTCGTGCAGAGTTGTTCACACAACATGGGCACGAGTCTCCCCAAGAGAGGCAGGGTAATCCTTTCTCCCTTGACAGACGATGCAGCTTGTAGCGTGCACCTGTCGGGGGTTCGCTTTTCAAACTTATCACGAGCTTTGATAAGTTTGTCGTTCCAAGCGTCACGACCTACATCCTCGAGGTTATGGATGTAGGCGTTCCACGCCTGAAGTAGTGAGGGACCATCACGTTTGTGATTCCCACTGTACCATCGATGTCTGAAGAAAGCATCGATGAAGAACTCATGTTCAGCGCGATAGTCTTTCGCGCTGGGGTCAAGGTGATGGATCCTTGACGAATCGAACAATCGTGTTCGATAACGATCACTCGTCGTCGCCGACAAGTGATCCATGACTGATTTTGGAGGCATCCATGCCTTCTTCTCGGGAGCGAGACGCAAGACATTGCGATCCCGCTCTTCCTGCGATGTGCCGACAGAAGGACTGGCACCTCGCTGTGAAGTGGTGTCCATTGGAGAACCGACACCACTATTAGCGCCCGAGTCTCGCGATCTCGAGCGCCTTCGCTTCGGCGATGGTTCATCTGACTCATCAGATGAACCAAAGATGCTGCGACGCAAAGCATCGTCCATGCCACGCTTGGCAGGCGGCTTAGATTCAATCGCCGTCGATACGGATCCGTCATCCGTATCAGGAGAGTACGAGACACCGAGCTCGTACTCTGTGAAGACACGAATGTCTTCATGACCAGCGCCTGCGTCACCAAGTGACACAGGCTGGGTCTCTTCAGCAACCGATGGGACATCAGTTGCTGTTGTTTCTGCTTCGGCGTCCGCACAGAGACGTGCAGACGCGCTCTCGGCGGCCTTGCTCGCGCATCGCATGGGCTTGTTAACCATGCGATGAAATGTTGGAAAGTGGACGCGGACCAACAAGTGCAAACCCTGTCCCAAATGATTTGGGACGAGTATCCATTTAGTCAATCAGTCACTAAAGTGACTGATGGTTAAGGGGGGTGATGTAACGGGGTGAATCGTTACATAACAATTTATAAGAAATTGTTAATAGAATATAACTATAAGAGTTATATTCTCAGAATATTGTCATAAGGACAAATATTCTGTAGCACTTCCAAGTAGTTCCTAATTGGTTGATATAGGCCATTATATCAACCAACGAAGACGCGCCACGACAGACGCACGCAATGAGTGGTGAGCAGATAACTGATTTACACATTTGTATTTAGACATAGTTAGATGAAGATAAATAGTGATTTATTGCAGACATTAACTATTATAAATACAGTTCTACTTTTTACTCTAACCAAGTACTCGCTTCTTCTTACCGTCTTCCTCTGCACGTACGAGTGTACGTGAAGTTACGAGGCACCGCCTTATTCTGTTATCAGAATAAGTAGCTTGTACTGTCACCAGTACAAGCTTCAGGGTGCCCCGTTACAGCCATGCCAAACAGCAATTTTAAATGACCGCTTTCAGCAGAATCGAGGTGTGGCCGAACAAGTCTGGACAAGAATTTAATACATTCTAGCGACAGTCTGTCACACCAAGTTGTGGACCGACAGGAACGGCGCTGTCTACAACGGCACCGTGCTCGACCTAGCAGGAACCACGCAGAGCTTTTGGACCTCGTGTGTCTGCCAACTACGCACGATAGCAACCAGAGAGCACCGAAAGAAGCTTCAGCCATGATGGGCGCTGTGCTGCTTGCCTGCATCCAGCTACTCGAATACGCACCAGAAAGGTCTCCAGGTATGTCTGGACTAAGCCCGTTCCAACCCTTGATTACCGGGTCTGAACTCGTGGCTCCGCATTGACCAGAAATGTTGTACATAGTTTTTAAACCGTGTTAATAGACCTTCTAAATCTAAAAAAAGTTTTCAAGAAATGGAATCGCTTCCTACCCATCAGGATGAGCTGTCAATGTTACATGGAGCGGGTAATATGCTAGTAGACTTTGTACACTTCGCCCGTCACATCAGAGAAGTTGATTAATTTTACTTTAATTATTAGTTATTTAATAGTTTTACACAATTATTCAGGACGGAGTTGATGACAATAGCTGCAGCCGGGCGGTAGACCAATGGGTGGCAGCCGTCTCGCAGCGGGAGCACCTGATCGGAGGCGTTGTCTAGGGGTCAGAGGATGGGTCAAAGTGCATCAACCATGCTGGACAGCGGATGTACAACCTCAAATAAAACCCTCCCTGTAGAAAACTGGAGCTGCAGTGGTAGGCCTGTCGACTGCTCATCACATTCGTCATGGAGACGTGCCAACTTTTAGACGCCAAGCTTCCTGCTTTTCTCACACAACGCGGTCTACAACAATGACGACAGAATCAACATCGACTTTCGTCAAGCGATAACCGAAGAAGTGCGAAACGGCATCAAGGCAGATGTCGCCTCAACGGGCCGTCCCAAAAATAGGTGGATTGAGCATGTGAAGGTGCAAGATATGTCATGGCTTCGGGATCGTCGAGGTCCCCCGTACGAACTGCACATAGCCCCTTTTCTCGCAGGTCATGCACTCTCAGTGATGTGCTGTCACGGTCCACAATACAGTCCGGAGTGACTCGCTTCTCACCTTGTACAAATATGGCAACACAGTCGATAGCGAAGCGACGACACTTTAAGTCTTTCTGTCTTGCACTCGTTTACACCTTCCCCTCAATCATGTATCGAGCGCTTCCGCAAGGAGCTCTGGTCGCGTACTCGGAGACGGTGCACCAGCATCACCAATGGCTACTGGGCAACAAAGAGGGTGTTGGAATGTTGGAAATGGGTGCAAGGGTACGTAACGGTGATCGGAGTGTCCGGCCGGTGACTTGGGGTTTATTTGGAAACCTGATGTCACCAACTCGCTGAGCGTAAAAGGTGGACGCAGAGTGACAAGCAGGATAGTGATCCGAGTAGAGCCAGAATGCGTGTGAGCTGGATGACTGGAGCAGAGGGCTTTGGCGAGCATGGCAGAGAAGAGAGACCTAGTAAGGAAATACAACAGAATCTTATTGTTCACCTAACGCTTCCTTCTCGCAACACGCATCTTGCCTACAGGTCATGAGCCCAATGGCCGCAACCACCGAACCGACTACGAAGACACCAGGAGGTGTCCCTCGAGCCACGCCTGGGCGCGGCTCGCCAGCGCGTGCGCCTACCGCACCCGCAGTCGTCAACGATGGACCCGCTCGCGAGAGCAGGAAGCGAGACGATAAGATCCTCGCCGCGCTCGCCGCACTCACCGATCGACTGGTGAGCCTCGAGTCGTCGCAGAAAGTTCAAGACGAGGAGAAGCGCATGCTTGGGGCCATGGAGAGCGGACTGTTCGCCTCAAACTTGGCGCCAACATGCGCGGCCGGCCGATGACGATTGAAGCGATCGGAGACGCGGAGGAGAAGGCACCGGTGCCACGTGGGTATTAGCGCGCGACTGATCTTGGCGCGTCGCGATTCGCATCGCTCGAGCCACCTCGCGCGCGCGCAGCACCGCAGCTGCAGCAGCGCGCACCAGCGTCTGCGCCACCTCCACAGGAGTATGCAGCGCTACCGCCGCCGCAACAAGTCGCTCCACCACAAGCCTATGTGCGACCGGGTCTCAACGGCTACGGGATGCCGTCCGCAGTCCAGCGGAAGTTGAACATACGCAAGTTCGATGGTACGGAGCTGTACCGCGGACTCGGGAGCGGATTCTTTGACTGGGGGCGTACGTTTCTGCGCGCGGTGAGCCTCGCGGAAGCGTCGTGTGGTTTCGGATGGACCGAAGACATCAATGTCGACCTGCTTGGGCACTTTCTCGCCGGCACGGCTGAGAGGTACTATCACAAGCAGGTCGATACCTGGTGGACGCAGTCATCCACACTCCATGAGTACATCATGAAGCAGCTCCTGCGCACGTTCAAGACGTCAATCACTGCAAGCCAGGGGATGAAGTTATTCATGGCCAAGAAGAACGCACGACGTACCTGGGCCGAGCACTTCCTGTACATGGTCACCGTTAGCGAGGCACGCAGTGGTGCTGACTCGCTTGTTCTTAGAAACATCGTCCACCACGCTTCGCCGGAGCTAGTGAACGTGATGCGCTCCAAGTATGAACCCACTCGACTCGACTACCTGCGCCATACCGAGGAGCTGGCGCACTTCTTGCAGTCCATTGAGCACGGCAGCAGCGCGGTGGGTCGTGATCCATCGCCGCGCACGTGGAAGGCAAACCCAAGGGCGCGATCACGTGCTACCGATGTGGGCGACCAGGCCACATTGCAGCCGACTGTAGCGCGCGAGTCGTGAACGACGACGAGACACCCGCGGAGGGTGGAGGCGCCAGCATGATCCTTGCACTGACCGAGAAGCGCAGATCGACCACGAAGAAGCGCAACGGGAGGTTGAAGGGCTCGCGCGGCAAGGACGCCGCAGCGACCAATGCAAGCGTTGGAGCGTGAGCCATAGACGACTCATGCGGCTTCGTGCTTACGACGAGCGACGGAGTACGAGCCACGGACGGCACTTGCGGCCTCGTACTTGCGGCGACCGATGCCACGGGCGTCGACCGAGGAAACTGGATCCTCGATAGCGGCGCGAGCCGGCATCTTGTTAACGACAAGTCGCTGCTGCTCAAGTTGACGGCTTGCAGCCACGAGATTGCAACGGCAGACAGCGAGTCGCTTCAACTGACGCGTGTCGGCAGCGTGCGCCTCGAGGTTCTTGCGCGCGGCGCTGAAGCGGTAGTGACGCTCACGGATGTGTACTTGGCGCCGCGACTGGCAAAGAACATTGTGTCTTACGGCAAGCTCGCCAACAATGGATTTGCCCTAGTGCACTCCGGCGAAAGGCGCTCACTAGCTCGGTGTAGAGATGGTGTGGTCGCGCTCGATGTCACAATCGACAGCAACGTGCTGTATGTCGTGACAAAGGCCACGCGCGACAACGAAGGTGCAGGCGGCGACGCGATCATGGCGGCGCTCGAAGCGCATGCCACGGAAACCAACGCCGACGAGCCGCACGAAGCCTCGCTGTTGCACTAGCACCAGCGACTAGGCCACCTTGCGTTCGACACGATCGAACGCATGGCGCGCGATCCGGCATTGGGCATTCAGCTCAGCAACAACAAACGTATGGCGTGCGTGTCGTGCCTCGAGGGCAAGCAGACGCGCAACGCGCAGTCCCAACAAGACAGCGGCAAGCACTCGCCCATCGATCGCATCGGCGGCGTCATCTGCTCGGACCTGAAGAGTCCAACGACGCCGCGGGACCGACTCGGCAATCGTTACCTTGTGAGCTTCCTTGATCACAAGAGCGACTACTGCCGAGTCTTCCTCGCGCACACGAAGGACGCTGCGGCGAAGCAGTTCGAGGCGTTCCTCGTCCACTTCGAGAAGCTTTTCGGGTTCAAGGTCCACGTGCTCCGCACGGACGGCGGCAGAGAATACGCCAACGTGGACCTGTTCTGCGAGCGCACGGGCGTCGCGCGCCAAGTGTCGGAGGCGTAAAATTAGGCCTCAAACGGCAAGGCGGAACGAATGCACCGGACAGTGCTGAACCTTGCGCGCAGCATGATGTTTGTGTGCGCGCTGCCCCTGATGTTCTGGGGAGACGCGGTACTATACGCCGTTCACATCCTCAACCGGAGCCCTACGCGAGCAAACGCAAAGAGAGCGTCACCACTCGAGGTGCTGACGGGCAAGACGCCGGATCTACGTGGAATTGACGTTTTTGGCTCCCAGTGCAGCGTGTATAGAGACCCGCGCAAGAACTCGCTGCTGCAGCGCTCGGGGCGCGCCATCATTGTCGGCGTCAGCATGGAAACCAAGGGCTACAAGGTGCTGCTGCCGCATGACAATAAAGTGTTCGTCACGCAGCACATCAAGGATATCGAGACTTAGACGGAGGCGCAAAACGCGCAACTCCAGCGCGCGATGGACGTCGGCGATCGAGCCGGAGACTAGGAGGAGACGGACGCGCCAGCAACAGCAGTGGCGAACGATGGTCGCGCAGAGGGCAACAGGGAGACGCGTAAAAGCAGAAAGCGATGGACGCGAGCGGCGCATGGAGCACCCGGGGCGTTGAAACGCGCAGAAGCGGCTGCTCGTGAGGAGGAGACAGCCGCGAGCGGAGAAGTCGTAAATGCTGCTTTCGAGCACGATCCGCTTAACTACGGACAGGCGGTGCGCAGCGGCAAGCGCAAAGGGTGGGAGAAGGCGATGCAAGAAAAGATCGCCGCGCTCGAGGCCAATGAAGTCTGGACAATCACAAAGCGAAAGGCAGGACAGCATGCGCTGCACACCAAATGGGTCTAAAAGACCAAGACAGATGCGCAGGGCGACCTCGAGCGGCTGAAGGCGCGACTGGTGGCGTGTGTCAACGAACAGGTGCTTGGCGTCGACTACACGCTCACCTTCGCTGCCGTGATGGACCTATCGACGGTCAAAGTGATCCTGGCGCTTGCGGCTACATGGGGGGGGTGCCTGCCAAGCACGGTGACATCCTCAACGCCTGCGGTAAAGCGGACAAGGAGCCGCACCTGCGCATATATCTACAGATGCCTCGCGGCATGCCAGTCTCGGAGGAGACGCTACGATCGCAAAGCGTTTCGGACGCGAGCGAGCTGGTGCTGGAGCTGCGGAAGAGCCTCTACGGGCTCAAGCAGGCAGGCCGGCTGTGGAACCAGCTGCTGCACTCGAAGCTCTCTAGTGCCGGTTTCACGCGGTGTGAGAGCGACATGTGTTTCTACTGGAAGCGTGACGGCGACGACCTCGTCGTGGCCGGCGTGTACGTAGAAGATCTTCTAGCGACAGGGACGAGCGCGGCAGCGGCCGAGCGGTTCTTTGCAAGCCTCGCGTCGTTGTCGATCAAGGACCTGGGGCGTGCCAGCAAATCTCTGGGAATGCGCGTGACGCACAACGGTCAGAATGGGCACACGCTCGATCAGGAGGAGGCCATCAGAAATCTCCTACGCGACAACGGACTCGCTGACGCCAACTCGACGTATACGCCGATCGACGACAGCTGCTACAAGTTGGAGGAGGGCGACGCGGAGCTTCTTGAGACTCCAAGCGCGTAATTAGGACCGACTGTGTGCCAGTTTTAGTTGCTGGTCGGTTCGCTGCTCTGGGTGGCGCGTTGCACGCGCCCTGACATAGCGTTTGCGGTGCACAAGGTCACGAGACGAGCCCACGCGCCTCGACTAGCAGACTGGAAGTTGGCTAAACGCATCGCGCGATAACTCAAGGGTATGGCGGTGCTCAAGGTCACGATGATCCCAAAAGACAATTATTGTGCGCCGATGCGACTAGAAGCGTTCAGCGACGCCGACTTTGCCGCCGACAAGACGGACCGGAAGTCAATGACGGGCGGCATCGTGATGCTGAACGGTATGGCCGTCAGCTGGGGTGCGCGGAAGCAGGGAGGCGTCTCCCTGTCGACGATGGAGGCGGAATTTTTTTTGTCGCGGCGAGTGAAGTCGCGCGCGAGCTAATCGGCCTGCGCGAGGTGTTGTGCGAAGTGGGCGTAGAGCCCGCGCTTCAGATGCAGTTGCGGGTGGACAACCAAGCGGCAATCGCGCAGATCGCGGGAGAGGTATCGTCGCTGAAGGCAAAACATGTGGATGTGCGCCTTAAGTTCCTTTGCGACTACCCGCGTCGTGGCATCATCACGGCGAGCTATGTCAGATCGGAACAGATGCTCGCAGACCTCCTTACGAAGGCGTTGGACGCGACGAAGCTCTCGACACTGCGCACTCGTGTGCATTGGTTAAGAAAAGGTCAAGTACGATCAAGGGCGATCAAGGAGCTCAAGGATCGAGGAGCACAAGGACAAGGACATTTGCAAGCTCAAGAAACGGAATTGGTTTGAGGGCAAGTCGCGACCGAGGAGGAGTGTTCGAATGTTGGAAATGGGTGCAAGGGTACGTAACGGTGATCGGAGTGTTCGGCCGGTGACTTGGGGTTTATTTGGAAACCTGATGTCACCAACTCGCTGTGCGTAAAAGGTGGACGTAGAGTGACAAGCAGGATAGTGATCCGAGTAGAGCCAGAATGCGTGTGAGCTGGATGACTGGAGCAGAGGGCTTTGGCGAGCATGACAGAGAAGAGAGACCTAGTAAGGAAATACAACAGAATCTTATTGTTCACCTAACGCTTCCTTCTCGCAACACGCGTCTTGCCTATAGAGGGTGCTTTCCCTTTCACATTTTGACACATGAGTTCGAGGCGGCACAACGATTGTCGACTCTACACTGGGTGTGTGATCGATCACTTGTTCGAGAAGGCAAGACCCCAGTACATCTTGGGCATCATCCGGCTCTTTCAGAGGTTTTGCATCTACGGGCCGGTTCAAGACGGTAAAAATACAGAGAAAGAAGCTAAAGAAGCTCATCACTAACTGCCGCTTGCGAATGGAAGGACACCAGTGCGACTCAAGAATACTGTAACGGGGCACCCTGAAGCTTGTACTGGTGACAGTACAAGCTACTTATTCTGATGACAGAATAAGGCGGTGCCTCGTAACTTCACGTACACTCGTACGTGCAGAGGAAGACGGTAAGAAGAAGCGAGTACTTGGTTAGAGTAAAAAGTAGAACTGTATTTATAATAGTTAATGTCTGCAATAAATCACTATTTATCTTCATCTAACTATGTCTAAATACAAATGTGTAAATCAGTTATCTGCTCACCACTCATTGCGTGCGTCTGTCGTGGCGCGTCTTCGTTGGTTGATATAATGGCCTATATCAACCAATTAGGAACTACTTGGAAGTGCTACAGAATATTTGTCCTTATGACAATATTCTGAGAATATAACTCTTATAGTTATATTCTATTAACAATTTCTTATAAATTGTTATGTAACGATTCACCCCGTTACAGCCATGGAGATCCCCGGGTAGCCGACAGCAGCTTAGACGACAGTGCTAAAATGATCACAAATGCTGGATATCAAATGCTGGACGCTCACAAGGAAAGGCCGTTCGCCTTGTCGTAGTCTACAGTGCTGTACTAATGTAGACATTAAAAGCATCATACTCCTCGTCAGCGACTGCTGCTGTTGTGTAGTCGTATGCAACTTGATTCAGTTCTCCGAGCTGAATCACTCATACCAAAGGGCGAGCTCCAGAGCTTGCTCCTCTATCTTTTCTGTCAAATGATTTGTGTCTCCGTCCGAGCCAGAAGCGCCTCCACTTTTCACCATAGCTCAGGAAAAGTCAACCTCAGGATCGATCCAGCTTCAGTATTTCACCTACAAATATCACAATCCGATGCTCACCGCTAGCTGCACGTCCTCTCAGTAGTCGGTGATGTGTTGACCAGATTCACGGTCGATATCGGTTTTATTTCCATCTAATAGCGCTCTCACATCTACGAGCTTGAGGGTGTTCATTGTCGAGGATGTTAGTGCAGCGTTGATACCAACTTCATTCGAGAGGCGTTTGCCAGTCGATCGAACCACAACGTCCAGTTCCGGTACATGGAAACCCACAGCCAAGATGTGCGAGAGAACGACGTCGCTGCATCGTGTGCTGCCTCTTTGCAAATCAAAGTCAACATCTCGAGCGTCACCACAACACGAGTGTGGCAGCTCCGTCCCAAAAGCATCGAGACAGATAGTCCCCATGGGGTCCACTGCTTCCCGTGACGGGAAGGGGTCATCGCGACGTCTTTGGAACCGGACTGTCGACGATGCGACGCCACGTCTCATTGACGGCACCGCTATCACTCCGAGTGGTGCAGCAGCTCCAGCTGTAGCAGGTGCAACTGACCAAGCGCGTACTCTTCTGGCTCTGAACTGCATCCAGTACAGCTCGTTCTTGGGTGATACCTGCCTTACCGGCTGTGCCGATGGCTCGATCCGGCGTCTCAATTGGCGGCTCAAAGCACGAGTGCCACACACGGGCTTGAACGTGTGGATCCCTCACTCGGAGGCTGTGACTCAAGTGGTTATTGGAGCCAAGCTGCAGATGATCTACTCGTGTTCACTTGACACGACGGTAGCCATCACGCCGATCACGGATAAACCGGCTTCGGAGACGGCAACAATACTACGAGGCCATCGGCTCGGTGTCGCTTCGGTGGCAGTAGATGACGCTGAGCAAATGCTGTGCTCTGGAGGACGAGACACGCAGACGATCTTCTGGGACCTCACGACGAGTCACATTGCAGCCAAGACCACGACGCTCGAGAACGTCGTCACGTGCTCGACGTGGTTGCCAGGTGAAGCGCTCGTTGCGCAAGGCAGTGAAGATTCGAGCGTGAAGCTCTGGGATCCAAGAACGCCGCTAGAAACGCCGGTGCAGACGCTGCGAGGGTTTCAGCAGTTCCCGCAGAGTATTGCAGCGTCTAACACTGAGCACGAGAGCAACAGCACGTACTTGTTGACGTCTAGCAAGGGCTTGAATGGCGTCGGCTATGAGGCACAGGTGTGGGATCGACGCACTGGTAAGCAGGTGGTCAAGTTTAAAAGCGGTGATCAAGATGCAACAGCTTGCTGTTTCTTGCCCAACACAGTAGATCAGAGCTCAAGCGAAGACGACAGAGAGTCAAGTGGACGACGGCTACCGCTGCCCGTGACGGCCTCCACGGATGGTACTGTGAAGGTATGGGACGCATCGTCTCTATCTCCATTGGCGGAAGCATATGCAGAAGGAGCCCCAAAGTGCATGATCACAAGCTTGTGCACGGTAGACAAGAGCACTCTCTTAGCGAGCACGATCGGCGGACAGGTCCTCGCATATTGTCTTGATCGGAAACGACGGACACTTGCATTGCAGCCTCGATGAACAGTCATGAGCAACTGGTTTGCCTCAATCGGAAATTGCTGGAGCTGCAGGACTTGCTGCGATGTCAGCATCTTGCTGGATGGGGTGCATGAATCACCGAGAAAATGCAGTATAGCGCTTGCCCACCTTATGACGAGTGAAATGTGCTATACTGCAATGGTCGCAACTACTTTGACTACTTGCATCAAGCGTGAGGCCAAGTGAGAAGGACAGGCGGCAGGCATTGAGATCTCCATGTCGCTCAATAGCTTTTCAACAGAGAGGCGACTCTCTGTTTAGCAGCTATGCCAAAGTGGCGAATCAAATCGCATTTCGGGATGACCAAGTGGTGGTCAGGGAGGCTTGCAAACAGTCAACAACCTTTTGCACCAAACCGTCTTGCCACCTCTTTAGATTAACATACGCGGCAATGTCGACGGAAGGAATCACTTAAGCGCAGACGTGTGGAACACAAGACCCCGACCATGGGATGACGTCAGCATGGAGCTCGGGGTCAAGTTCTCGTTTTATTGGGCCACGTGTTGGAATACGGCCATGCTTACTTGGTTGTGCTGAATCCATTGGTACCATGCGAAAGCATGCGGAAATGGAGAGATTCTGGCGATTCAAGAAGTATGAAACTGCTCGGTTTCATGCCGTGGTAACCATGTTTACTTTGGGCAGCTCTCTCGTTAATCAAGGGTGCACTTGGAACTCCCTTTGACACAGCTGATTTAACCACGGCTAGCCCCGAATGTCAATTGCGACAACATCAACTGCACGTCCTGACAAAGCTCACACATCGCGAGCAATTTTGCAGCCTCCAGACACCAGGATATCTCCGTCTTTCGAGAGTGTCACACAAAGTAATACAGTGATACAGGAAGGTTCAGCGCAAGCGCGACTTCACAGCCGATGAAACCACTTTTTCATTTTAGTATCCGTGCTCATTCACGGATACTACATCTTCGCCTGAGCCTGACCTGACCGTTGAGGGTGAAGAATCGCATGTAGGGAACACGCAAAGAGCTGGACCCACCTTTCCATCAGCAAAACTTCTCGAGAGACACTCATGATTACGACTCTAGGACCCTTTCAGAGTCCATATGATACACTTGCTGTGCTGCAATCAATCATCCGCGAGTTGTCGGACTGACGCTCTTTGCTCATCAGAGCACGGTGTTAAGCTCGTGATGATAACGCGAATGAGCAGGGCATCCATCGATCCATCAATCCATCCATGTAAACACGGAAACGGCGGCGTGCCAAAGTCACGCTGCAGTGCAAAGTTGCCGAGGAGAGGTAGACGTGTAGCATGCTTTTGTTCTGCCATGCACTTTCCGTATTACCGATACCTGCTTGGATAGGCATCGAGCAGTAATAAACCTACACGAATATGTAACGAACACAGTGTCGATTTTACAGCAGATTCGTAGCAAAATTGTCCAGTTGCAGCATCTACAGCCCACCGACTGCATTGAGTAGGTTTCACATGAACATGCCAGACAAGAAGAAGAGGGTCCATGACGGTGTTTCACAGTAGACTGACAAGCACTTGTTCAGCGCATTGCTTCTGCAAATGCCGCTTGCCATTCCATCAAAGTTCGACGACGGCCATTGCAACGCCTGCGCGAAACCGAGCACGATGTCGCAGAGACGGCGCCCACTAGCGATCACATTGTGTTTTCAGTGGTAGCTGTGTTCGACACGGACAATGTAAAGCGTCACAGCCTCCACAAGACACAAAGATTGGGTTCCCAGCGCTGTACGATCTCGCGTATGTAGACTCGTATCTCGACTCCACAAAGTGTGCATAGTAAACAGCACTCCAACACTTTACGCGGCCGTCAATACTCCAGTAAGCAAATTTGACATCTGCTCGCGCTCATACTGCATCAATCGAGAGATCGGATTCGATTACGGGACGATGATTTTCCGTCCATTGTAGCAGCTTTTGCAGCTGGTCGAACGAGCAAGTCTCGCGAAAGTAGCGCTCTAGTGATGGGGATAGTATGTTCAGCCGAAGCGCTTCGTTGCGCAAAGCGAAGAAGATCTTAAACAATTTCGTGAGCTCTACAATCTCCTCGTTGAAGATTTGCTGTGCGTGGCACTGAAGCTGCCGTTTTTGGTTGGCTGACAGTTTCAGCAACGAATACAACTCCGCTGCCAGAGGGTTTCCTGAAGAAGTGCGCAGCATCTGCACCTGTAACACACTTGTGCGTATCGCAGCAAGCTGGCGTCCCACAAGCCGAAAGCGCTTCCATACTGCACGTTCGCGCTCGTTGTGTTGCATTGATAGTGTCCGTCGCTGTCGATTAATTTGCATGAGAGACTGAAAGTTAGCAGGCTTTTGGATTCTCGAGAAAGCTTCAGTGCGCCCGGTAACGACCTCGACATGTTTCTCCCAGTCAGACATTTGAGATGAGGTCGCACGAGACTCGGAGTCGAATTCTGGACCGCTGACACCCCATTGATACGACCGAACCAGGTTGCGGTTGATCTGTAAGCATTTAATGCCATTTTCCAGTGTTTCCACGTAAGTCTGCTGCTTTCTACGGCTTTCTCGTGCGGAGTCGCGGTTACGCTCAAGCTTTTTGCCTTTCTTCTTGGCCTCTTCATCCATAAGAGATTTCAAAATGCTGCTCACCTCCGACTCTTCGGGCTTTCTAGCAATATTCACAAAGCCTGGTCCTCCACGCGCACCCTTCCACTGCACAGTTCTGGCCGGCTTCTGTGTAGGACCTCCAGCGACAGGCACTTCCATAGAAAATGGTGAAGTCATTTCAACATCATGGGATAGCCCACTATGGGAATCCACTTGTTGTTGCTGCTGCATATTTACACTTACGGGCGTCTGCATGTTAGCATTCATCGGCACGCCCGGTAAACCCATGGGCATCTGCATCAGACCCATTCCATTCATCTGTGCCATCTGAGCAATCTGCATTTGCAACTGTAGCTGCAATTGCATTTGCATGGCTGGCGTCATTCCATTTATTCCGTTCATGCCACTCACTCCATTCGTGTTCATTCCCGTGGGTATCTGCATAGCTGGCATCATTCCATTCATATTCATCCCTGTGGGCATTTGCATGGGCATTCCCATCATGTTCATTCCTTGCAAACCCATCATCGAGTACATCATAAACGGATTCATCATAACTCCTTGCGTGCCGATTCCATTAGCTTGCTGTGGCAAAACACTCGCCACATTGGCAGCAGTGTGGTTGCTCAAGTCTGTACCCACATCCGTGGTCTTCATGGCAGCACTGGCATATTTGTTAGCACTCTGACTAGCAGATGCAGTGCTACTTTTTGCACTCGCTGCTCGAACTTTGTCAGTAGGGCTGGCCAAGCTGGAGGCATGCTGGGAAGTATAATCTGCACGAGGCATAAGAGGCGAAGAGGCATCTGCTGTTGTGGGAGCCCGAGGTGCTGAGTAGCGGGCGTCCGGCAAAGCTGCACCCTCATCCATAGCTGTCATGTGTATTGACTGCAAATGATGACGGAAACCAGACGGGTTACTATTGGTTCCGGAAACTGGTAAGCTCGTAGTCGCATGGATCTGATCTCCTCCTCCAAAGTTGTTCATCCAGCTAGAAGTGTTCTGAGCACTAAATTGCTGAAAATACTGTTGCCCGAAGTTCTGTTGCTGACATTGCTGGTCGTGCTGCATTTGCATAAGATGTTGCTGCTGCTTTTGCTGCTGAAATCCCGTCGTATTCTGCTCCGCAGCTACGACACCAAACAACATCCTCTGCGTGTCCCCATTGGTGTAACGCGGCACAGCTCCCAATTGCTTGGAAAACGTCGTCTCGTTGGCGTCGTCTAGCATATTGACAATGTCATCACTTAGTGACCTCTGCATATTCACCCGTACGTTGTGCTGATCCACTGAAGCGCGAGCGAGTGATCCATCAAGTGCGTGCGAATGATCCGCATGTATTGTGTTGGCCACTGCGTTCTGCTGGTACTGCTGCTCAAAGCTCCCGTTATCGTTGAGACTACTCGATGCGTGCAGAATGGAATGTGGAGCGACTGTCGAGTCTATTGAACTCTTTACATCGTCCATGTACATGTCAAACTTCGTGCCCAAGTGGACGTCGTCTTCGTTCCAATCGTCCCACAAGTTGCGGCTCATATTCGACGACAGACCGCTACAAAATATCACAATTATACACACAAACACACACACAGAACACACAAATAGGAAAATAAACATACCGGTTTTTAATCAGAGTCTCTACCTCATCTAAACGTACGAGAGCACGGGGTCCAGCTGCAGCGAGACGTCCGACATATGGAGATCCATAGACAGCTCTGCTTCATCACAGGTCTGCTACAGTGTAGAGTATGATACCGAACAGTCCAGTAACGATCGTATTTGATACAAAAATGACAATCAAACAAGAGCATAGGCGTGGGTGGGACAAGAAGAGACACAGTTTGGAAAATCCATTAGTAGGTGGTCGTATGTTTGAATGCAAGGCCGAGGGGCGTACGCCAAGCGCTTGGTACGGCTGATAGTGCACCGCAGTCTTCTTGTTCTTGGGCGCCTTGGACATGCTGCAGCTGCCTGTGGAGTGTCGAGAGGATGGCCGCAGCCTGGCGCGACGAAGACGTTCGTTACAGCGGACACGAGCTCGCGTGCTCGAAGGTGCGTGTCAAATGGCAAAAGGTGAGCGAGCGACGTGTTGATTCGCTGAAATGAGGACTGCGGGACGCTGTCACATTTCGGTGAGCGAACGAGTTCGGTGGAAAGTCTATCATTTGGAATATGTGGTTTGTCGCGCTGCTGGTGGTGGTGAGGTTCTAGTGAGCCTGCGTAAACGACTAATCCTGTGAAACGGACTCGAAACGGGGTCCATGTCGAAGTTGACGCTGCTCGAGAACGTCGTCTGATTGGGCATCATACGGCCACTAGCATTCCGACCTCACCGGCGAAAAGTAGATGAACAGCACTAATTTTTTTTAGAATACGCACGTGAAATAGGTGATCGTGGCGAAAACAGCTTATATACTAGACGCAAAATCGTACGTCTGAAATGTGGCCTACAGGTTCGGGTGTCAAAAATACACTCGACCAATCATATTTGCTCAGGTTAAAGGGCTGCAGAGAGGCTTTATCGTTGTACCAAGATTTCTAAATCTCTCGCTTTCGGTTATGTTTGACCCGATTGCAATGTTTAGGTCAAAATTCCTCCATCTCTTTTCTTCAGTATGGAACTAAACGCAATTGTTTGCCGCAACTTTGCTATCTTTCTTGCTAATTTGAAGCTAAAGACGAAGTGTATACAAAACATCTCCACCTTTCTCTTGCTATTGTGGACCATACAGTATGAGGCTAGGTAAGACCAAGCACCTCTCGCATGCATTCTCTCTACTTTGCCGAAAATATACGTCTGGCAACGGAAGAGCACACGATAGCCAGCGGCATCGTGTCAGACCGAGATAACAACATACTTAGCCAGTAAGTACCGTAGGTAGTCGGACAACTTTAATACTAGGCAGAATGTGGAGAAAGATAGAGGCATTTCATTGGCTAGCACAATTGACAAACGCTTCGAATAGAGAGGGAGATTCACACTTGACAAACTCTTTTTCTCACTGTTTTTATTGTTTCTGTTTTTCCTATTTGTACATTATCACTCATGCAGCTGTGTCCATTTACATCAGCCATCTTCTGATCATATGGGCCGTGATCCATCCTAAATATATTTACACCTACACTTCTCATACGGCGCTCTACTACCAAATTAGACTTCTGAAATGTAGAGGTACAACTCAAGACGCATTTAGCAGACGTGAGCTAAGATTGTAAGATTTTAAACCGATCAAGTCGGTGTATCCTCGATTCCGGACGTACGTGAACAGGGCGGGCGTGTATACCATCCACCTGGCAATTTGGGAGGCGTGGTTGATGGCGAGAGATCCGCGTGCGGGTAGCCGACCCACCGAATGTTTATGATGATGGGGAGGCGAAGTCATTTCCCTCTCGTGGCTCACCTTCGAAAAATCGGACAGCCAGACTCGAATGAAGACCGGTATGTCACCCTATTAATGGAGGAACAAGAGATGGAGCACGTTTCATGTGTAATGATCCGGTCATCTCATCACTTTGATTATACCGCATAGCTGGCAGGTGGGTGAGGAAACCGATCTCGCGCCGTCCTGCAACAGTGCTGTCCAGCTCGCCCTATTCATTCCACGGGTCATTTCTTTACCGCACAGGAGACAACCTCACGACCGTCCGCTTGAACGAAAAACACGATCAACGAGCTGAAGAAATCGAAGAGATCTCAAGTCCCATCTTTCATTGACGAAGTCACCCGTCATCTGTACGATTGCGCGCAGCAACGGTCCCGCAGCCGATCATAATGGCGTTACTCATCTTTTGCGCTCAGCCCTCCAGTCCTCATTAAAGGTCTAAAACGCGCAGGTGATAACGAATACCTGGCAGTCAGATGCATCAAATTAAAAGACTTCCCATGGTTGAAAACGCGCAAACAGGCTAACGGAGTATCAAGTATGGACACCCTATCGTATCACGACCAAGCAGCTGAATTGATACCATTTTGGCCGCATGTTGGACAACATTTGCCGTAGGATGCTGCAATGACGGAGGTGAAAAGAGACTGCGGCGCATAATATCCGGGACAGACCCACCGCACAAGCGTGTTGGTATCACTTGATATGACACTGGACCGTAGAGTGTGCAACGAACGTGGTCGTTTCCCTTCTTCAGCCACTGCGCAAATTGCCAAGCCCCGCCAATTTTAACTTCAGTTGAGTCTTCGGTTGCAAAATCGTATTCAAGATGACTCCGACGCCGCCGCAACAGACTTCTAACAGATCTGATTTTTTTTAAGCTTCATCTGCCAAGAACATTTGTGGACCAAGCTAAATTCGGCGGTCTTTAGACGAGTCTCGACTTCTCCATCCGCAAGCTTCTAAACGTACTGGGAACGTGGTGTTCGCCAACTGCGGACAATTGCAATTCGCGAATATCGAGCTGCGGCTACTGCTGTACGTGGGGCCCGACTTCATGCATGTCTTAAATTACTGAATCAAGAGCCCCAAGGGCACCTGCCCTACGCCGGTGTCAGCCACGATCCGCTGCCGCGACCGGCACTTATATCCTGGCTCAGGACTTTTCAGGCATCTTGCACACATTTAAAATGTCAATAGATGATCATGAAACTCCTCCTCCGATTATAATGGCGTTACAATCCAACTCGGGTCTCCAAGCTGTACAAAACGCATTCACAAGCCTAGGCAAGTATACCGGGTCCCTGATTGTGCGAAAAATGCAGCACAAAGACATTTCCGTCTCGCCCTTGACGTTGCGCGATGCTTAGTCGTAGGAGCCTGCTCGTCTACTAGTGTCGGGTTTCAGTCCGCACACAATATGGCTGAATGGTGGGATCGATGAAGGAAATCTTGACGTAATTCTCTGTTAACACAAAAAGGCGAGACAAAATATGACGCGTAGCTACGAGCACAGGCCTAAACTGTTACACAAAAGACTGGAAGCCGCTATCATTGCAATTAATTACTCTTCCTTGACGCCCGCGCACGTTTATGGTGGTGCATTATTGTCTGCTGCAGCCGACGACCCACAAGTTATCCGCAAATATGTCGCAGACTGTCGAAATCTTGGGCAAAGGGTAATTTTTTATATAACAGCACACGTATTGACCAGGCAAGACCTTTCTTTATTTTTGCACCCGCGTTACGACGAAGATATAAGACAACATGTATACCTCCCTAGGTAGAAAAATCCTGCACGAAATTTATGTTCTCAAGCACTTGCCGATGAAATGGCAGATGTATGGGAGCCCATTGTGCTTCGTGATAGTACTGATCTTGACTTAACTCAGGCTTTTATGAGAAGAGCGTCGCCTCCGGTGGAAACTTATGACTCGGAAGTAATGGCTGTCATTTCTATCGATAATGTGTGCGCGTCGTTGAAGCGGCGTTTAAACGCGGTAAAGCAGCATGACCTGATGAAATAAGCAACTTCTTTTACCGAGGCTACAAAGATGCACTTACGCTTATTCTAGGGCCATTGTTATCAAAATGGCTTCAATGGAGTATTTATACGCCTATTTTTGCACAAGCGAGCTATAAATCTCTAAAAAAGCGGCGGTACCGGCCCGACCGTTGGATCACTATCCAATTGCACTTCTGAACATTGATTGTATTTTGCTTACCAAGATCATATCTTTCCGCGTGCGGCTTCTAGTTTCACGTCTGTATTGTTAGCTCAAGTGGGTTTTTGTACCGTATCGCTCTATCCATACTGCTCTGGGTGTGTTTGCAGCAGTGAAAAGGGCTGCCTCTTCCGATGAAGAGCTCTATAGCTCATTTTCATTGCTACTTGATTTCTCCAAAGCTTTTGGTATCCTACAGCGTCCATTTTTGCTATCGGTTCTGGCGTGGATGGTATTCTTTCAACATTTTGTATCCGTGGTCATAGCATTACATCACAAAGCGACTTGTGGTTTCATTATGAACGGATAGTTGTCAGTATACCTGCAGCCCATCACCTTCGCTAAGGCGACTTAGAGACTGTACGTCGTCGTGCATCCATCTTTTCTTCGCGGAATGAGGTTATTTACAACGACGAAGGAGGTGCTACAAGTGATATGTGTTAAGCGATTGACACAGGTACTTCGAACGGTCCTAATCCTGTATTCGTGGTATCGGAACAATTGGACAAAAGGTGGCTTATTCGTGCAAAAAAGTGACATGACTTGGCTTCGGGACCGCAGAGGCCAACCGTACAATCTTAATGGCGCTGGATTCGAGAAAGCCGCGCGATACCTCCAGGATGCTTTGTATTGGACTAAGCTCCGACGCAGCGCTGCGAATTTATGCCAGTTCCTAATATATCCACGGCATTTTTGCCGCGCACAGGAATTTTGGTTCGTTCTGCCTCGCTATCCAATACGACTTTCCTCAACTTCTGCATCGAGATTTGGAGGCAGGGGCTTTACTCGCTTGCACACCAAAGACACAACAATGTCATGACTGGGTCATCAGCGACGATGGCTCGACGGTCACCCATTTTGATGCGGGTAGGCCATACGATTCTACGTCTATTTCTTCTATGTTTGAGTGCGATCGCTTAGCTACAATCAGCTGTGAACTACTCGTACACTTCGGAGCTTTTCCGAAGCTGACTCGCGTCGTACACCTATAGACAGCTTGATATATGGGGACCCAAACAAAAATCTCATTAAGATAATAACGCGGAGATTACACTTTATAAGAGCTAAGACGTCGTGATCAGTGGGCAGCGCACCCTGAATTTCTTGAGGTATCAGCAGGTACTGATTTTGTTGAGTGGAAAGAGATTCGCCACATTAGAGGAACATTTTCTACTGGAGTGCAGACACTGCATCGCCTGAAAAGAAAAAGCTTTTCATTATGGAATTGGTTTAAATAGGACCTATCATGTCCTAACCCAGATTGTGACCGATCACTTACAGCTCCAGCAAGTCACGTTTTTGGACATGCCCACGTGTACAGTGGCATTAGAATTACCGATTGTCGTTGTGGCAGTGTCTTGGAACATTCGACATGGACAGGCGCAACATTTGGTTTTTGGTATGATACTTCCCTGTACTCCGAATTTGGCTTGGGACACCGTACAAGCTTCTCTCGTGGATCTAAAAGGCTTTCTGGATCAGGAGCTGCGATCTTCCAGCTGCGAACGAGATATGGCGATTTGTTATCACTTCGACGCTTCATGATATATGGATCGAGGCCTCCAACGAATAGAATTTCCTAGTCTTTCGCCTGAGGTCTACACCGCGGGTGCCAGAACTCAGCTCCGACGTGAAATCGTAAGCGTTAGAAATTCGAATTATCAAACCGGAGCTGATGACGCGAACAATAATATGGTCTACATGCAGTCAGATCTTGCTGACACGCTATTCCAATACGCTATTCCTCGTAGACTTAACCGGATGGAGCAAGACATTTATCCAGGGTCGTTTTACCTGCCTTTTGAGATGGGGGATCGTGAAGAAACCCAGTGTCCGGCGGTTCTGGATCTGTCATTGTCAAGATGCACCCCAGGTCTCACGTGGCATGCGTTATCTGGATTGAGAGCATGGCTTACGTAGAGTATCAACTACGAGAAATGTGCAGAGTATCAAGGTCTGTTGCATGGTTCACGCCAGACGAAGGCGACCCCCCCCCTACATGCCATTGATGATAGCACCCTCACACTTTCCAACTCCGGTCCCATCACCCACCACGAAAAGTTCTCTCGGTGTTGCTCTTCCGGAAGGCACGATATTCAGCCGATGGTATTGCGATCGTCAGCTGGTGGCATCACTACTGCACTTTAACAAGATGGCTGACCGACTGGCCGATTTCGCGATGGATTCCTGTACTTCGGTTCAAGCGCACCTTCCGTCGGATCGCCGGGTCGTAAAGGAGGTTGCAACGTTCTTCGACTCTGACATTACTCACTGGCTCGAGAATTCTCACAACGAGATTTTCGATCTTCGAGACCTCGTGGACCGCGCAGGATACAGCCATCTCAAGACTACAATCGGACAGCGTGCTGCAGCTGTCTATGGGCAAACACGTACTCATAATACACACCTAGTTGTCTGCGCGGTACCTAGTTGCTAGCAGACCGGATCTATCGGGTCGTTCGCGCACTTGAATATACATCACCTTCCCACTCACTCAATCACTAGATTGCGTAGAAAGAATGCAAATGTAGCTGTATCTGGGCAGACTCGAGAGCTCGTATCTCTGCTTAAGCTTTACATGTCATGCATTACAAATGTAGCTGTACCTGGGCAGACTTGAGAGCTCGTATCTATGTGCTGTACATATAATACATTACACACTACAGATACAAATATGCACTGGAATTTCGAGTGTACATTGGATAAGTAGGTCCTTGATACATATGGTGCAATGCACCTTCTTCAGGCTGCTTTTTATGTAGCTGACACATTAGAAATAGTTACCTGGCTATTCTCATGGTTTACTAATAGCTGCTCACACGTGCTTGACTCCATGATTGTGGGAATCTCGACAAGAAGCTTTTAACCTATTCAAGACATTAAAATATGACCGGAACGGCTTGTATTTTTCTGCTACTTGAACTGGCAGGTTCTCTGTTTGATGTCTCACAGTGACGGAGGATACGACCGATTATAGCATTCAGATTGCATCATCTCGCCATTTATTACCATAACAAGTTTTTTGGCATTCCGTCAGTACTTTTTATGTCTCCCATTGACTCATAATCCTTTGTACGGACCTTACTAATACCCCCTATTGACCAGAAAGCGTTCTGTTAAAGGAATGTACAACTCAATGCACTACCCACAATTTATCAGATATACACGCATCTTAGCCTATTGCACTGTCGTGTTTTCAGAAGATGATCGTAGTTCGTGTCGCCCTCCTCGACCCGTAAACCAGGCCAGTCGGTTAAATACGGGGTCGATTCAACAAGACTTGGTCCATGTCGGGGCCTAGTTCTTTAGGTAACAGAGCGAGTCTATCATTGATAGCTGTTTCTATTGGTTTTGTGTACACCACGCATCCTATTGGAAATGGGTCATTTTTAAAGCTCATATTCTGCCGAACTACACGTCCCTACTATTTCGTACCTCTAGTTTGAATGCCGAATTAAAGTTTTATCGCGGAAGGAATGGACAGCTTCGACGGAATAGCAGCTTAAAATGGATGGCAACTCTATTATTTCGTACCTCTAGTTAAAATGCCGAATTAAAGTTTTATTGTGGAAGGAATGGATAGCTTCGATGGAATAGCAGCTTGAAATGGATGACAACCAAGTAGCCTCTATCAATGTGTGGAGATGGTGAAAAATAAAGCAAAGCAGGTATCTCGTTCGATAGGCTGGTCGTACCACTTTCTGCTGCAAGTACGCATATCGACCCCTTGTGCTCAAAAAGTATGAGATGTATCCAGAGGTAGACAGATTCGCTAACAGAATCTAGTGCTGTTCTAAGGTACCGCGAACCTCATGTGAGCAATATGAAATTTGCAAAAGCGTCGATATCACTAGAAATTATTAGTTTTAACGATCGGTGTCATCATGCGGAGACTATCTGTCCGATCTGATTCGATAGCAAATTAGTCTGCACGGTACCAATTCACTTGATCATCAGACCAAAGCTCTCACTTCTACTCAGATCTGTGTCTAACGGGAGCCTCAGCTCGAATTTTATCCAATACCACCGAGAGAAACCTGCTCAAAAACGGGTGGTTCTCGTCGATCTCCGCGCGGCCAGTAGCTCTTCAGTCGTCAGAGAGACACAATCCGTCAAGATGCTGGTGTGGCAGGATGTTTTCACCGAGGATGAGGTGATGTCGGACTCGCACAAGGTGTCGCCGTGCAAGGACATGGAAGGCAACGCGGTTCCTGGCATGTTTCAAGTCGAGTCCAAGACGGTGGCCAAGGGCGCCGACAACGTCGACATTGGCTGCGGAGACGCCTTTGGTGGGGACGATGAGCAGGTGGACGATTCCGTCGAGACGGTCAACAACGTGATTGACGACTCGATTGGCTTTGGCTACATTGAGACGGGTTTTGACACGAAAGCCGAGCTCAAGACGTACCTCAAGTCGTACTTCCGCAAGACGATGAAGCACCTCAAGGCGACGGATGCAGGCGACGAAGCGCTGGCGCAATTCAAGAGCGACGCGCAGGAGATTGTCAAGTTCCTCGTGTCCATGTTCAAAGAACTGCAGTACTACATGTTTAAGTCGTGCGACTCGGAGGCTGGACTTGCGTACGCCTACTACCCCGAAGGCGCTGTCGCCCCCACCTTCTGTTACATCAAGTGGGGGCTCAAGGAGGTGAAGTTTTAGGTACTTGCTTGCTTGCGAGCGCTGCTTGGAGGAAGGATCAGGCTCTGCTTGTACCGACAGGGTCGGTCTTTCTTGACTCGCAGTAACACCTTAATTCATGCCTCCTATTCGTGTACATGTGATGGTCTCTATCTTCGTTGCAGCTTTTCGTGGCTCTCTTTTCTCCATGCTAGCGCTCGACAACAATAGCAATGACACTGAGCCCCAACACTGTGAAAAGCACGGCCAGGATCTTGAGCGTGAAGACTCGGAAGTCCAATTGCTCCTCTTTATTGCCAACGTCTTTGTCCACGTCGCCAACGCCGTGGTCGTAATGAAGCGGGATGAAGTCCACGCGACGGAACCCTTGTGTGTTGCGTAGGTGTTCATTTTCCAACCGGAAGAAGCTCCAAAATGTCCGGCGAAACAGCTCAAGCACAATTGTAAAAGGCTGCAAATACAGCGGCAGCCAACGAGCTGCACCGCGCGGCGGAATGAGCGTGACAGTCCAAGCAAATCGCAGGAAGAGGTCGGCAATAATGGCAGCGTAGTAGACCCACTTGCGCGAAAACATTTGCGAGTCTCCCAGGAACTTGAACTGCGGTCGACCGAGACCCCAGTCCATCGTTATATCCCAGATCCATGTGTACAGCGAACTTGCCGTGAACAGGAACAGCCATACTACCACGAACATTCGCACATGCATGTGCAACGTAGTCTCGTCGCTATCGTCGCTGTACAAAGGGTGGAAAAGACCGAACAGCACCACCACCTGCGCAAGGGCGTACTTGGCAGCATTGGGCAAATGTGGCCACCACGTCTTGGTATCGTACACGCGGCGAAGATTTTGCAGAAACCGCCACCATAGCGGTAACACGCACACCAATGGCACGACCACATTCAGGTAGTACACGTTGTCAGCACAAGTCTCTTCAACTGAATCCATGGGAGAAGTCTGCGGATCCTGCGTGCCGACAGCGATCGGGTTAACATCTTTGCGGAGAAACTCCTTAGTTGCAAAGAAGCAGATTGACCAACTGACATCCTGCGTCACTTTGACCGTGCTCGTCAAATAGTCTCCTACAAAAGTGTGGAAGAACGACACTGGATATAGCGGCGAACATACGACTTCCCACAAAGTTCGCAGCATACCAAGCTGCTGTCCCCATGGACGGATAGCGTAAAAGTAAAAGGTGTAAAGGAACAGCACCAGCGGATAGTACCCACGGTGTAGTAGCTCTTCCGGGAAATAACCGTTCACAACCTTGTAATAGAGCAACACGTTTGCCAAATACACAATAGTCATGTTGGTGGCATCGCTGAACACTTGCGGGTACGACTGCGCTCGTCGTGGATTTAGCTCAAAGATGTACCGATAGTTAATTCGTGCTGCGCGCCACACATAGAGCGAGACTCCGACCAACCAATGCAACAAAAGGAGGCAGCCAATGCCACGGTAAACCGGATAAGCACGAGTTCGTACAAGATCGATGAGACGATCTTCCCGTTCATTACGAAACGTGGGAACCACGAGTGAGTCCCAGCACACCCAGATCAGCAAGACGAGACACGATCCACTCTTGATACCGAGATAAATGTGGCCCCAATTCACAAAATCCTCCTTCTTTGTCATGAGCGTCGCGACTGCAACCGTCACGTTGCCGTCACAGAACCAGTCGGCAAACGATCTTTCCACTCGTTTCAAGAGCCTCAAACACGACCGTGCTTTGGCAAACTCAAACGTCTGTAGCTTGGCTTTCTGCTCCTTGCGTTTGTCCACTGAGACGCTCAAAATCTTGTCGTAGCGCTTGAACAGCTTGACAAATCCAGTGTAATTCAGTACAGCAAAATTGTGCAGTAAATTCAGCATCCGATGCAGCTCGACCAGCGAATTCTTGAGCGATTCCTGAGCAGTGGCTGGTGCATCATCGCGATGTTGAGCTTGCAAGTGCTCGAGCTGTTCCGCGAGCTGAGCGGCGTGGCGTTTGTACGCGTGCTCCACTTTATTGTACTCGCACTCGAGCGCTTCGTCAAAGGCGACGGGCGGAGAGAGCAGCGACTGGAGCTGCTCCGAGTCGGTAGCTGACAGTGGCGACCCTGAGCGGTTTAGGAATGCAGCGCGTGTATGATTACTTTTTGTACCCATTTGACTGATCTTTGTAGCCATTTGCGAGCTGAGGAGCTCCGAACGCAGCGGGTGGCGCCTCCCAGGCGTCAGACGGCGGCTCGTGGCAGCTGCTTCGACCTCGTGCTGGTGCTCGAGCATCCGCTTGAGCCCGTCGTAGTCCAAGTAGTCGCTGCGCCACTCGGAGACGACGTTGTCGCGCAGCCGCAGACTGAAGTTCACCATGTCAAGTGATCGAGCGCGTGGCTGACGGACGGACGGACTGACTGGCTATGGAGTGGCGACAGGAGCGCACTTAGTGGCAAAACCGAGCTGGTTACATGTTGAAGGCGGCTCGACGGACGAGGTCGAGGTTTTTTATGACTGTGGACGTTGCGAGGACGTTGAGTAGAGATGCTGCAGGTGGGAGTATACACTTTCGTGTACGACACGTCATGTTTCGAGACATGGTGAGTTGAGATCACTGAAATGAGTGTATACCGTTTTGCATGACCGGATAACGCGGTCACTTTGACTACTATGTCAGGTACGAAGCTCGGTTCGGCCACTTACTTCCGTAGCGCGGCGAGTCGCATGGAGAGATCGTCCTGCGACTTTTTCTCTCGAGCTGCTTCGGTGACTGGCAGGTGTGTACCCACGAGCCCTGCCGAGTCTAGTTCTCCTGCCACCTTGAGTCCGTTTTCGTCCGCAACCATCTGAATGAGGTCGTCGACCTGGTCCGCTGGGGTCGAGGTCGACATGCCGCTGTTCATCGCGCCTTCCATGTAGGCAGACCGCACGTCCATGTCTTCAAAGTGCTTCTCGAACTGATCCATTGTCTGGGAAATCTTCTCCACGTTCATAGACTCCATGACGGTGTCCATCCCCGTGACCACGCCGCTCATATTAGCCTTGAGCTGGCCCATGCTAATGGCCGTCTGCACCCGCGCCGCCACGGCGTCCATTCGAGAAGCCAGCTGCAAGTAGCTGAGCGCCTGATTCTTCTCCCGTATCACGTTTTGTGCGTAAATCTTGGCACCCTCCATGTTGCCTTGCTCGATCGCCTTCTTGAGCTTGGTCTTCTGCACCGCCTGGTTCTTCTCACACTTCTTGGAGTTACGCAGCAGCGTCTTGGCCGTGAACTTGATGTTGAACAGCTCGTCTTCGAGCTTGTTCTTGCGGGAGAAGATGCTCATCATGGCGGTACCTCTGGAGCTCTGCGCAAACGTCCGTCGGCGGCTTCTTTGACACGATAGTGAGGACTTTGAGCGGGATTTTCAATTGAGCTGGTCGACTGACGCGAACGACGGAGGAGTCGATTTTGGTACTTTGTGCTCGATCCCGGCCGAGAATGACGGATGAGTCGATTTTAGTCCTTTATGCTCTATCGCGGCCGATTTTCTGCGCAATCCACGATAGGGGCGGAAAAACACTGATATAAGTTAGAGGGCTGTGGGTTAGCTGAGTCCTTTTACCTTCAAAAAGTAATCGGACCATGTGATTGGCCACCAGTTACGTGACTTTGGTAAACTCGTTGCAGAATAACGAAGTCTTCCGGTGTGCTGTGTCGAAGACGATATCCTGGATCGTTTTTGATGAATAGCGCAGAAGCAACAACAGCATTATCAACGAGCAGATTGGATCGGCATTTTGTAGTCGTAGAATGTGCGTTATGTGCGCATGTAGAAGAATGACCACATAAGTACCGTGCAGAGTGCTAAGGCTAGGTGAGCGTGGACCAAAATGTCGACATGAAACACAGTAGTCGCCCCGTAGAGTCGAGTGTGCCATTCGTTCAATGGCTATCGGGTGTGATGAGATCTAGAGTAAAAGTAGGTGATACATACTCCCGTAAAGGCAAAGACAGAGCTGTGCTTTGAGCGAGACACAAGACGAAGGCAAGCTTACCCACTTCTGCATGACCGGCGTTCCGAGCTCTAACACTCGGAATTGTAAAAGTCGTGTTGTTTCGTAATCGAGTTCGCGAAAGAGAGGGGGGGGGTCTCACCTATAGCAACAAAACGAACTCGATCCTTTCTAAATCTCATACCAGACAGCATAACACATGTGATGGATGTGCTTCCTCAACATACGTCATAACGCCTCCGCAGACCCCGAACCTAAACCAGCGAGTAAGAGCATACAGCCAGCAGCTGAATCGTGACTGCACGCATGGAATTGAATACCTCCTCCCCATCCTCATTATCCATTTATCCCTTTCAACAGCAAGTGTCTTTGCCTGAATCCATCATTGCAGCTCAGCTCGCCACGAGAGGTTTCGCCGTCGACAAACCAGCGTCTTCTCCCATCCACGTCGCACGTGATCACCGCTGCCACAGAATGGACAGCACAAGTGCACACACTGCCAGCACTGAGGTCACGTCCGCGCCCCTAGCGCGTCCCTTGTCCACGGACCCAATAGTCGATCACGTCGTACCCAAACAGCGCATTGACGTAATCAATGAGTTCCTCCAGCAGCGCGTGTCCAGTCGTCCACTCATTGGCATCGTCTGTGGCTCGGGTCTCGGCTGTCTCAGCAAGTGCCTCTCCCATCAAGAGGTGATCCAGTACAAGGACATTCCGCAATTTCCACGCTCCACCGTTGAAGGCCACGCGGGGGAGCTCGTATTTGGCGACCTGGACGGTTTTAGTGTCGTGTGTATGCGCGGCCGTTTCCACTGCTACGAAGGCTACGCCATGCACGAAACGGCACTCCCAATTCGAGTCATGTACTTGCTCGGGATCAAGTACTTGGTGGTGACCAATGCAGCAGGTGGACTCAATCCGGACTTTAAGGTCGGGGACTTTATGATCCTCAACGACCACTTGAACCTGCCGGGGCTGTCGGGTCAGCATCCGCTCATTGGACCCAATGACGCGCGCTTTGGACCACGTTTCACGCCACTTTCTGACTGCTACGACAAAAAGCTACAAGCACTAGCTCGTAGTGTAGCTGAGGGCCTCGGACTTGGTCACAAGACCCGGAACGGCGTGTACTGCTTCGTGTCAGGACCGACGTACGAGACCCCGACCGAGTGTCGCTTTCTCCGATTAGTGGGCGGCGATGCAGTGGGTATGAGCACAGTGCCGGAGGTCGTTGTGGCTGCTCACTGCGGACTGAAAGTCATTGGTCTGTCGCTGATCACGAACAAGGCCCTTTTTCCAGGAGAAGAACGGGAGGCAGCTTCTCATGCTGAAGTGCTCGAGACGGTTCAGGCCACGCAGCACGACATTGAGACGTACGTGCGGGACCTGATCGCAGCGATAGGTAAACAGCATGAGTCGTAGAGCAGCGCACCCGAACCAAGTCGAGGCAATGAGTAAAAATGCCACGTAATGGATAACACGTCGACAAATATCTTACGAAGGTTAACTGAGCGCAATTCTTCCTTCATCGGCCAGGCTTAACCACAGAATTCAGATAGCATGAGTACCAGATACTTTCAAGGATATCACCTACAAGCAACAGCTTCGTTGGCATGGAAGAAAATGGTTCAACTGGTGCCCGCAAGAGCCAGGCATGGCGCGTGACGCACGAGTGAGCAGTGAAAAGAGGCGGAGGATGCCCATCTATGCGGCACAGCTAGGCAACTGCTCAGTGGACTCTGCTCTGGGACTTCAACGTGTCCAGCTCGACGCTGGAAATGGGTAGCTTGATGACTATTCGGATTTTGATGTGTAGAATGTCGTCGTGTATTTCGCTCCTGTAGAAAAAGCTGTTGCAGTATATACTTACTAGACCAGACAGCATAAGTTTGAGACACGGGTGAGCTTGATCAAGCGTTATTGATTGCGAGCCCGAGGGGCGGAGCTATTAGTGACTGTGCACAAGGTTGAATGCCGAACTCTAAAACCGTACTTATCGCTGTCTGTGTGTGCAAATAACGCGGCGAGGTAGGGGCGATGTTAGGCAAAAAGTCCCTGATCATAACTTTTTTACTTTTTACCAGCGTTAATAACATTAAAACGAGGTCACATTTTCGAACAGACTTGTACAAATGATTGTTTTACCAGTCGAGGTTATAAAAATGAGAGGTTACGCTGCAACCACATTCACTATCTATCGCCTACCCGTTACTGCCTGGCCCCTAAAAAAGAAGACGTCAGTCTTAAAGGCCCACTATTCCCTCGAAAGGCTTTATACATGCCTTCTCTGTAATGCTATAGATTCTAACACATTCTTTGTGAATCGCAGCTTTAAAATGCCCACCATCGGACGTCTTCATCTTTTAGCGTGGAAGTTCTATGAGAAGGTGAAAATGGCTGGGAAAAAGTCAAGGTCAAGTGCAAATACTGTTCACTTGGTTTGCAACCGCAAGAACTTCGCATGGAGGTCCTCGTTGCACAGGCATTCTGCGTTGTACTGCTAATCATTTGCGATCTCTCTACTAGCAGCATGACACATTCGTGCTCAGATGCTCCTATTGAGGCAAACTTTAAGGCTAAGAACCTCTTCAGCAACCGGTCGGGCAGAGTTTCTTGGTGCGGGCATTCCATATACAGGTCTTTTCTTCTACATAGTGACTAGCAAATTCCTTCCGGCACGGTTCACTTATCGCATTTGATGTTTTCACTTGGTCCGGCCACTCAACGATGTGAGAACCTGCCTTATGGAGCTATAGTAACACCTGTAAAATCGTTAAAAGCTGGGTGAAACGCTATTAACTAGTCAAAGCATTAAAAGTTGGCAAAAAGTGGTAGTAAGTGGTGATCACGCTCGACACTTGGTAAAAAGTGTTCATAACTGTAAAAAGTCACGGAACATTTTGCCTAAACATCCCTGCGGCGAGGTGTGCTTACACGTGTCAAGTGCGATCTAGCCTGTCCCCCCTCAAAGGTATATAGGCATATTTGAAGTCACTCTTTGGCTAGGTCACTATTGTGATGCGCGAACGTGGTTAGCTTAAAATCGATCAAAGGTATGTGTGATCATATAAGCAAATGATGGACGATCAAAAGCAAAGGCTCATCGCGTTGCACTAGCCTACTGTACTAGGTTAACACAGGCATTAGCAGCATCACATTCATTTTTCAGTGACCGCTGTTGTATAGTTTCTTGCAACTTGATTCAGTTCTCCGAACTGAATTACTTACAACGCAGGGCGAGCTCCAGAGCTTGCTCCCCTATCTTACGTGAAAGGCTTGTAGTACTTGGAACTGACGAGTGAAATACTTGCAAAACATCAGCGTAAAATCAAAGATACTGATCAGTCTCGTCGATGTGGCACCTGCTCAACTCATCCGAAGGTCGAGGCCATCGAGATCATCGGCAAGCTCCTCTCTTATACATTGATCTTCAACACGTCATCGAACAGTCGATAAGCTTCACTCTTCCGTCTTGATGTCATACATGTGATGCCGAGGGCGCTGACGACAAGCCAGGAAGATAAAAAGTATGCCACGAGACCCTTCCGATCTCTTGAGGAAAAATCAAGTGTAGTGGCTCTGTTGGAAATAGTCATGGGTCCACGCACCTCGTTACCTTATGTGACATTTCGGTAAGTAGAGCCTCCGGTCCACCCAACTATCACACACCCTTCGGCGATGGTCGATCCGGCAGCTCTCTGTCGAGTGATTGCTAGTCTGCAATACTGACCTAGCTTCAACAAATGTTACTGACCGACCGAGCGCGAGTTTTACATCAGTGACATCGCGGTACCGAGCATCGATCAGGGGACACCGCGGTTCCGGTGCCAGCGGTTCCGGTGCCAGTGGGTAAACGCAAGACCACTAGGTCGTTGCTTTGCTGGAAAATATTGCCAGTAAAGTATTGATCATAAACGTGCTTGATGTGTTGCGAACTTTTCCGCTAAAAAGTGGCGGTGTATTCTTCAATCGGTGTGTGGGCTCCTGCTACTCATGCCCTCGTGACCTTTCTTTTCTTGTCGACGCCGGATGCTACGGCCATATCGTATATCTTCATCTCCATCAAGGATGGGCTTTTTATTTATATCGTTCAAGGTTGATGCGTCCCGATCAGTTGCACTGCGTTCTCGCCACCACTTGCGACGTGTTTTGGTCGAACAAACCCCGCCCAAGTAGCTCGAAAGTGCTTGCCAGCTTTCCACCTTCACCACCAATCAGCGACGTCTTCGACCACCTCCTCGTATCGATCGAAGCTCACTTACATGAAGTCCGCTCGTTTGCATGAATTAGACACCGGGCAGAATGACCTTCCTGGCGACATTCGCGATGAACCTACTTACTGGCTCATACTTGCCTATAGTTTATCAAGTATATCCCCAAAGCGTATCTGATATCACACCAGGCTTAGGATGTACAAACTACTTGTATTCGTTAGCTTCCAGCACCCTATGGAGTACTCAAAAAGGTGTAGGTTTCTATACTAGACGACCCTATCTGTCTTTGACCAACACCCACTAAAGGCTCCAGCAAAAAAAACCTTCATCTGCCATGCATGAGCCATAAAAATGTGTCGATCGTCAGCGAGAAGTTCCAGGCTGTAAAGGCAGGGTCACGCAACTTCGAACAATGTGTTCAAGAGCTCGATCTACGCGTTCGGTTTGCCCGTCCGTTTCCGGATGGGCTGCAGTTGACATTGAAGCTTCTTTCAAGGAAATCTATGCGATCAGCGATTGTTTCCTCGCTTGAGTGGATCAGTAAGCGCGTCGTAAGTGAACGATTAAGTCACATCAATACTCTCACCAATAATTTGCAATAGGTGAAGGGTTCAAAAGGCTGGAACACGCTGGCAACAGCGGGAGCAATGAACTTGTGTTGTCCTTCTTGTTGCCACTCGCTTTCTTACACAAACGAATTAATGCCTACAATTTTTGGCTCTGATGTAACAGCTGCATCGCCGATAGGACATCACTTACTTTTACGATTGATGGCCCGTCAAAATGGCCTTCGTTTTGTGCGTAGTCGTCTTTTCCTTGTGCTAAATGAATTAGTAGATCATACAGTGGACTTTTTTTCCACAAGACCAACAAGAGCAGCTTTATGTGTTTACCTACAGAAGCGATCGTTACTGGCGCCTGGGCGTGGGATATCATACCTCCGTCTGGAGCGTCCCAGATGTCTGCTTTGTCGTAGAAGAAATGGGACAAGATATATTAGGTCTCCTAATATAATAAAAGGTTGGACGGATGGCAGCGTCTCGTCAAAATCTTGTACGAACATGTTGTCTTTATCTTGTATCATCGATAGTGTACCTAATGAGCAAAGTTTGCAAGTGGCATGTAGCATGTGCAAAGCGCAGGTCACAAGCGAAGCGCCCTCCGTCACACACCATCGAGGCCTGAGCATCCATGTTCTGTGACGTACACAGCGTAAGCCAAGTCTTATGAGTTGACGTCGATAGTACAAACTGGATTCAACTTCAAGCTACATCGACAATCGGCATTGCTTGCACTTCAAAAGCCGACACCAGACTGGTGTTCCTAAGATACGCCACACGTCTACATTCACATTTACCTGGAAGTATTTTGTGAGACCAAAAAGCTAGCGGTTTATTTTCTTGCTTCACTCGATGTCGCTCCTTTCGCTTCTACTTCAGAGATGGCGTGACCTTTTCAACCGCACATAGCAGTAGTTTCCATTACTCCTTTCTCACATAATTTACTAACCTCGCACACTAGTGGAACGCATTATAGCTATCGAAGGACGGTCAAAGCATGCCTCCATACTCGGTGCTTTATCTCCGATTGCAGCTTCTTTCCATCCGGCCCCTTCCACCTGGTCACCACCACACAACCCCTCTACATTACAGCTTTCCTTACTGACGGCGGCACCCCCAAGCAACTCAGATATGCTGAAACCACTACCACAAGGCCAATTTGCATCTCTCATAGCTGCCATCGATGTAGCGTTATACATGCGCGACTGCGAGGTGTGCAGAGATTCGTATTGATCCAAAAGATTTCCAGCGCCTGTGATTTTCATTTCCGACGATATTTTTGACCGAGTAGAATAATGCTGTGTAAACGATCCAGTAAATGAGACGATACCGAAAGCTGGACTTTTGGCTCCAAGCGTACGTGGGAGGTCCTGATAATGTAAAAGGGAGGTCCTGCTAATTTAAGGATTTTTCGCTGTTTTATCGAGCATGTCAAGCGTGTTGGTAGCATGTTGCTATTGCTCGATTTGGGCTAGAACGCAATCGATAATTCTATCAAGTATCTAAGGTTTAAAAATTGGAGCGTAACAGAATCATCATGCTAGACTTCACGGTGATGGTGACGGAGAACGCATTCGTTACGTTACGTAAACGACTGTAGGATAAATGAAAGTAAAGGAAGGAGCGCGAACAAGTGCCATACCCGGGTAAGAGGTGACCGTTGAATATGATAGAAGGGAATTGCAGATGACTCGTGCCTCGCGTAGCTGTTTCAGACGTTTGTGCACTCGGAACGGTAGTGCTGAGTAAGATGACCCATCCTCATTGCACTATGTGTGTGTGCCTATGAAATAGACTTTAATTTGTCGAATTCGTGCGGATCGCTTGGCTTCATGATACTCATCTACAGTGCTCACTCCGGTAAGGTTGTTAGCTTTTTAGTAATCGAGCTCTCAAGCTTGTACCGGAGGTTGTACTTATCGGATAATTGTGGTAGCGTACATGTAGGCAAATTGACTGACGATACAGCGCACTGTAGCAAAAAACACGTCACACAAAAAGAAGTTGACATAAACAATTAATGATGATAAAAATCCTACTGATGGACGCCTGATCCCTGCTCGACATGTCCAAGGAAACTGATCGGGCTGCTTACAGAGTTCTCCGCAGACTTCGGTATGATCTTTGCATCACACGCAGTACTTCGTTCTATCTTCACATGTGGCTCGAGTAGAGTCTTTTAGCACAACACGTTGTCTATAACGACAGTGCTGTGTACGCATCTCGGTATGATGCAACGAGCCAAATTTTGAACAAATCTCTCTCTGTAAAGTCGTATCGCTCGTTCTGGCTCTAACTGACGACTATCAACGTAGTCGTCATCGAACGAGGTCGGTAGGCGCTCACTTCATCATGTGCAGGAGGCTAAAACTCAACAGCGGACAGTTTGTCGGAGGAAACACTGTAGTCGGCCTAGTTTGCACACGTTCAAGGAAGGTATCAAGTCCACCAATACTTGAGAGTGTAGTGCCTATTTTTGCCTTGGCTCTGATCGGGCTTTTGACAAGCATTTACCAGTTCAACATGGACAGGTTTCCATCCATCGGTTTGTTTCGAGCCATAGAACCGATAGCCGGTATACTTGTGAACGCAGAAGCAGCAAACACAACGTAAAGTAGTGCAGTGCTTGCCTCGCTCTGGCGTTGCCTGTCAAAGCCGACGTAAGAAACGAAGAGAGCAAACAACAGCCGTGTCAGTTCATTAAATGATGCAGCAACGAGTGCAACCGTCTCCGCGCATGTTAAGATCTCAACCGGCAAGCATCTGCCAGTACAAATGACACGAGCGTCCTTGCCGAGGTCTTCAATAGACTTTGCACCAACCGTGAATCCACACCATCCAACCCCAACTCTTCAGAGGTTTCATAGTTGACAGACGACCTGTCGTCTCTTCTTTCTCTCTCTTTCAGCGTAGTGCAGCCCTTTCTTCCATCTCCATCTCCGTCACTTGACTCGTTGGCGCCACTGGTTGTCGCACGACACCAAGTCCTGGCTTCGCGGTCGAGAGGAAGTAGCTCCGAGTATCGCCGAACGAGAGCACGACCGCCTTAACGAGCACGTTCGGCGAAAAGACCTCCTCCATCACGAGTTTGTCACTGTCGTGACTCTGCACGTCCTCGAGTCGGATCGTCCCGGGAAACGGCTCGTGAAAAACCGTCTCTCTATCAACACATAGAACGTCCACCAGCACCTGTCGAGACGTCAGTTTAATCACGCGAGCGATCACGATGTCGCCCAGCCGCAGCACTTGCGCAGAGGCCACGGTCTTGTGAGCGCGCGTGACTTCCACGACGTCGTGGGAGACGCGCCACTGGCCACCAATCGACGCAAACATCGCGCCCTCCCGTTCGTACGCGCCTTGTCCAGCCGTGAGCTTCTTCTTCTTCCCAGCTGCTGTGACGAGGCGCTGACCAGGGACAGCGACGTGCATGTCGAGAAGAGCGTGAGTGGCGAGTGGCGTGGTCGTGGACAATGATTGGCTGAAATCGAGTCACGCGGGATGACCTCGACGAACGATTGGACGAGCGCACGGCAGCCAGCCATCACGACATGGTGCGGCTCAAGACTCGGTACTTGGTCATGGAGGCCACGACGAGCGCGCGTAAGTTGGCGGTCAAGCAAGACGATCTCGCCACGTTGATCCGTGCGTCGATCACCAAGAGCTATGGCGATTTTGGAGCGGGATTGGCCCAATACGCTTTCCAAGGTACGCGAAAACGTGCTTGAAGGGACGTACGGTCCTGCTGTCTCACCTCGAGGCGGCGTCTGCTGGACTAGTGCTCTATTACAACGCGTCCACGAGACTCGCAGTCATTCGCTGTGCACGCAAATGGTGCAAAATGGTCGAGACGTCACTTGTCTTTGTGACGGACGGACACAACCAAGACGTTCGTCTCCGAGTGGCTCGCGTTTGCGGTACGACCGCTTGGCCTTTGCCACGTGTTTGGCTCTTCTGGCATCGATAGTGTGACACAACGTGCGGTCATGTTTGTACAGGCTCCAGTCGCACGTGCAGGAAGTACCTGTTGCAGTATTCCACGGAACGGGCAAAAACGATGAATCTGTATGCGTCGCAGCCGAACTTTGACAGAGAAGTGCAGGCTGAGATTGCACGCGTTGATCCGCAATGACCATCCTTAGCTTATTTCGACAACGAGCATCGCAAGCTATTGTCTCTACCTGGCGTCGAGAAAGCAGGCGGCGTCGTGACTGCTAGCCGACTATTCAATGGCCTTGCCTTGTTTCTCGTACTCGGTTTCGATCTGTGAGCAGTGGAAATCCACCTCCTCAAAGATCTCGCGCACGTTCTTGGCCGGCACTTCCATGACGTGCTTGCTTCCGTTGACTACACCACCCGAAGAGGTGAATGACACATAATACAGCAAACAACTTGGTCAAAGTGACGTTCACGCGAGACCGAAAGTTCTGACCACGTACTGAAATCCAGGTCGATGGTCGGCACGGAGCCCGCCACTGTTGTATGCTGCTCGATCTCTGCCTTGGGGTTCACCTTGCGTGTCTAACGTGCCCACCAATGCACCCATCTTCAGACTCCTCCATTACCACTGCAGAGCTCTGGATGAAAGACACTCACTCACCTTCTCTGCCGTCATCTGGCGATAAAACTCACTAGAACTCGATGATTCAGAACCCCAGGCATCAAGTTAGAAGACAGTTGAGACAGAAAAAAACACACACTAGAAAAGAGTATTGGAGAGAGCTGCGACTCACCAAGCTCCAGTTGCCCGCTCATCGAAGCTCGAGAAGGAGATTTTGGCCGACTTGAGGAACCGAACGACGTTGCGTGCCGCCATTTTCGATGGTCTTTGTGACTGGACGGACGATCGTTTTGTGTTTTAGTCATAGGTTTCGGACGTCTTGAGCTGTAGTACGTCTCAAACGAATTCAAGAGGGTATGCGGTAAGATGGGATTATCTACATGCATATCGGGCAACTGTTTTATGACTGTCCGGATTTGACAGCTTTCATCATATCACATCCCCTCTTGAAGTCGTTTCGAGGCGTCTCGACGGCCGAGTGTATCGTTATCGATCATGCCGGACGAGCTAGCGATCGATCGCGAGAAGCACTGCCCCTTCCTCCTGCGAGTGTTTTTCAGCAAGGGGGCACACAACAAGTAGGAGGATCAGCTGTATACGTTGCTGCAAGCAATTGACCAACAACCGACTGTCTTTTCGTGTGGTTGGCGGTTGTCCACCTCTTGATGCAGAGCCGAAGCCTTCGAAGCGCTGGACGATACGCCACTTGCCAATGAGCTGCACATTTACACGTGGTACGTCGCTTTTTACGACCCTTTCTGCTGGTATCTCTCTCCTGTCAAGAATAGCCACACAAAGTGCGAAGCATATGACTGTTTGTTTGTGATTCTCAATCCAGGCCGGATGCCACACTTCGAGAGATGGCAGATCTCGTGCAGGACTCGTACACCGACGCACGGAAGCTCAACATGCGGCTGAGCATTTGCGTCGTTTCAGAGACGCGAGATGGAAGGTGATCCTTGTCTTTGTTTTCTCCCATTGCAAAGAAGACGTCGAGACTGAGTCGAGTTTTGTGTCGCATAAAACGTCGGAAGCAGAGTGCTCATGCGCAAAGTTGGGTTCGTGAACAGCAGTCGACGTCGATGTGCTGACGGTTTCAAGACGCTCGCTAGTGTTCGGTTTGCCCCTGGGGACTTGCTCGATATTGCGCTGGTCGAGTAGGACGTTGGGGCGGACGTCCGCCTATGACGATGCACTTATGTGCTTACCGATAAAATCATAGCGCAGTGCTCGGTCACGTAATACAGTACCGCTAACTTGTAGACTGTCCGTGTAAATCCGTGCTATCATCGACTTGGAGAGGGTTTGACACTCGGTTTGGCTCCGGAGCAGACAACATGGTATTGGTGACCACGGACACGTTCTTGGACAAGGTGGCCGCGTTCTACGCCGAGGCGCACGACGTCCAGGGCTCTGTAGCCATCTCGTGCAAGAGCGGTACGTCTGATTGAGAAGGCTCCTCCGTGCTCTTGGCTAACGTCTCGTCTCTCTCTTGCTGTTCTTGTATCGACCTCCAGTGCCAGTGACCAAAGTGAACGGGAAGGAGCAGCAGAAGATCCGGAAGCTCACGGTGGAAGACGGCGAGCACGTGCTGCTGTTCCGAGCTTGTAAGTATGGCAACAACAAGCACAAGAAGAAATACAGCACCGTGGTGAGGCTAAGTTGGGTCGTGATGTGATGTGATGCGATGTGGAGTGGACGACGTGGTTCACCAACTGGCTTGGCTCTGGTGTTGCTGTTGTTGGTGGTGGTGGTGCTGCTGTGTGGCTGCAGGTGACAGCTGTGCATCACGCGTCGTTCCACGCGTCACTGAGCCAAATTGTCAAGACAAAGGTGGACGCGGGTGGTAAGAGTTCCGGGAAGCGGGTGGTGGCCAAGGTGAAGAAGACGACGCAATAGGTAGAGAGAGACGCAGTATGAGAGCTCGAGTAGATCTAGCGAGCGGTGAAGGGAAGGCAACAAGTGGAATGGCTTTGACGGGTCCAGTGATATACAGGACGGGGAATAGTACACACACAAGGGCAGTTGGGTATTGTACCAAGGCGTAGATTTACTTGCACTTATTACTGCGGGGAAGATGGGGAGGCAGCGACGATCTGGTCCATGTCCGACTGCAAGTACGTGTTGAAAGCTGGCAAGTCGTCAATGAGGCTCATGTCCCCCAACACGTCACTCAAATAGTGGTTGCGTCGAGATGCCCGTCGTCGACCTTCTTGCAGCCCGGTGCTGCATAGCAGACGCCCCACCATGGGCATATAGTCGAGCGTAAATCGCGGCTCTGAGGTCCCACATCTGCAGCAGGTGGACACACGGCGTGAGGTAACATTGACCTGCATGTCAACGACAGTCGAGATCAACAGGCACGCACCCTTTGTATGCAAGTGGGAGCTCGAACTTGGCTTTCAGCTCTGCTAACTTCGTCTGGTGATACCGTCGTCTGGAAGCTGCAAGAGCGCTGTCTAATGTTCGGTGCACGCATTTCGAGGCGACGGGTCCTTCATACTGCATGAGGGACGCACCAAGACGACTGGCTGAGGATCCCAGCATATGAAGACTAGAACGTCTCAGCTCCAGCGCAGCAAGATGCTGACGTTCGTGGTGGAAGAACGAATCCTTGCCATTCAGTCGGGACAAAACACGCTTGTTAGAACGAACAAGCAACCAAAGCGATAGCGGCATGTACCTTGGTGTCATCAGTGTCATGACCAGTTGCCGAGGTGGGTGCCATCCACACTTCTGCAACCGAAACAGCATCTATGATCTGCGCTAACTCCGCCATAGCGTCGACTTCCACTTGCTTCTCTTCGCGGCTTTTGTCGCCAAGGCGTTTACCCGCTGATCCAGTAGCTGCTGCAAGCTCTGATAGCAAATTACTCGTCAAAGCGTCGAAGGACGAAGACCCAGTCGTCCACAAAGTCCAAGCAGGGACATCAACTTTGGACATGTTCTTCTTGCCTACAACGTGCTGCCAACACCACTGTGCCTCCTTGCTTGCATCGGACACGGGCAAATTTGCCTCGAGAAAATGCAGCGAGCGGCGAACATCTCGCTTGAAAAAGTTGCCCATCGCATCAATAAGTGACGGTGCTAATTGCAGGCCTTCGATGAAGGCTACCAGCCGCATCCAAGTTGCAAACTCGTCCATTGAAGGCTTGCGAAGCTCGCAACACAGCCGTCCGGGCTTAGCGGGGAATGTGTCAGGCAACTGCGAGCACGTTACAACAATAGGGCACTTTGAACGCTTGGCGATAGAGCACACGGCACTAAGAAACCCTTTGTCTTCGTCGAAGACCAGGTCTGCATCCTCAAACATCACAAGTGACAACGATGCCGCTGTGGGCTGCTCCAAGCTTTTGCGGCTTTCAGAGTGTCTTCTCTTCTTCTTCTTGTGCTTCTTCTTCCCCATGCCTTCCTTTGCACCCACGTGCAGCACTCGAGCGGACTGCGTAGCTTCACCTGCCAGCTCTACAATACTCTTTCCGGAACGATTCTGAGCGGCGTTGATCTCGATGATCTCGTAACCTAGCTCCTCGGCGCATGCATACACGGCTGCAGATTTACCAGCACCCGATTCACCCTCTAAGATGAACAAACGGCACAGGTCACCAACTTCGTCCTCACTATCGCTGTCGCCATCTTCGAACGCGAATAGCTTCGACTCAAGACAATTCAGCTTTTCACGATCACCACCACCTACCTTCCAAGCACTCAGCCATGATGACAGCGTGTGAAGCGACTCACAATTGCCAACAAGACCACTAGCATTGACCGGCGAGTAGCGGTCTACTAACGACAAGTTCTGCTCGCGATCCGAACGTTTTGTCCTGGCCTGTTCGAGTCCCTCGAAGAGCTCGCGCACTCGTTTCTCGCGCATCCCATGCGTCTCAACTAACTCATCAATCAACAGCGTCTGCCTTCTCATCAGCTCTGCCATACCGGCGTCTGCATTCTCTGCTGGACGGGGAGAAGTGACATCGATACACTTGATGACTCGAGCGGGTAAGCTGGACGCGTCCAAGTACTCACGAAACCAGAACTGTTCAGAAAACGAAGACTCAGTAGTCACTTGCCCGTTCATGGCTGCTTTTAGCTGATCCATCACTCCATTCGTCAACCTACTGCCTGCTGCTGCATCGTCGTCCACAACTATTACCGCAGCGGACTCGTCAACTACAGGTAGGACTTTCTTCGATGGTGATAAGCCGTTAGCGATTCTGTCCATACCTTCAGTCTCTCCACACTCGATCAACACATGTTGTACGTCGGGAAATAGTGGCAATGGCTTACCCCAGCGACCACCCCCGCTTGTACCCTGCCATTGCTTGGTCGCTCCATCTTCATACATTTCAGCATCATCGTCGTCAGCACTGACGCTAGACTTCATACAAGCTCGCGCTTGAAAGAACGGACTCGCCGTTTTGCCAGCAAAAAATGCCAGATCTTTCTCCCGTGTCTGTCGAAGTTGTTCCCGAAAGGAAGACACGGTCTCAATTTCCTGCAACTGCTTCTTCTCCAGCTCGCTCAAAAAGAACGACTGAGCGGTCTTGGCCACACCTGGTGAGCTGGTCGTCGAGTCGACTTTCCTCACCGGCGACGTCTTAATCTTCCTGTTCATCTCCAGTTTTCTCTTACGTCCACTGGTTGTTGCATTGCCCTCTTTTGCTGTTTTCTTTGTCGACGGAGGCGGCGTCAAAAATGAAGCCGCCTCGTTCCTCGCCGCCACAGCATCCAACAACTTTTGCTGCTGCCGAAAGATCTCCGCCCGCACAACTGCCTGGCGTTTCGGCCGTCCAGAGCTCATCCGAGCAGTAGATTCACCCTCCTTCATGCAGCTGTCAACCTCCACTCTTCCAGTCTCCACTGTCGCTTTCCTGCTCCTATCAATGACCTTCTTCTTCTCCACCTTCTTCTCCTCACCGCTCTCTGCCACGTCTACGACATCTCCACAACCAACAGCCACATCATCTCCGTCACTCTTCACGACCTCCTCCTCCTTTGTATCAGCTACAAGCACGACTTGTTCCTTCACGCAGAAGCGCGCAATTGACGGCTGGGACGCGTCCACTGCCGCTCCAGAGCCTCGTTGAGACGCTCGCGCTTTCTTCCTCAAGCTCCGTCTCGACCAATGCGCCCGCTCATCAAACTCCGCATCGTCCGCCTCGCTGTCAATCTCCTCAACGAGCGATGGCGTCTCGACGCTCATGGGCGGCATCGTGTCTTTGGCGCACAACTGGGCGAAGCTGATGTCAAGCGGTGAGTTGACGCCCGAGCTCAAGCCGGCCACGCGCTTGTTGTCTTGCGGCTGACTGTCGGATGCAATTGAAGTAGCACCAGCACACGCGGATAGACGACCGCTCAGCCAAGAAGCCAAGCCTTGAGACGCCATGGCGCGCGGCTCGAGTGCTTCCCGCCAAAAATAAAACGTGTCAAAAGCCGGTTGGTTCGGCACAGTTACTTCACGGATGTCGGACGGACTGCTTTTTATACTAAACACTTTTAAGAGCCGCGGCAGATACGACACTGTTCATGATGTCTATGCAAGTCACCGAAAAAAAGAAAAAATACGGCTGGCCTTTAAAGTGCTGCCAATTGTGGTTAGAGTGACCCCTCGAGTCGTTGTTTATACTGATGAGCCAGCTAGTGTAATCGCCATTGAGACCAAGGTCGATGACCGGCTTCATCGCGTGTCGTTCCAGTAAATCTGTGTGCATCCTCGAGGCCCTAGTGACCCATTGGCATCGAAGGCTGGGCCATTGCCGAACTCTGCTGAGGCATACTCATACTCTGTTGCTGCGGCATGGTCATACTCTGTTGCTGGGGCATCGCCATGCTCGGGTGAGGCATGCTCTGCTGTTGGGGCATACTCTGCTGTTGAGGCATTCTTTGCGTCACTGTGTTCATGCGCTGCATCTGTTGCGATGGAGGCATCATGCCGTAGCCTTGAGGAGAGACTTGATAGCTCATGTTTGGCACCATACCGCCCCGGTTGTCTGCGTAGCTCGTGGGATTCGGCAAGCCATTGTTCATTCGAATGGGATGGGACATTGGTCCGTTGCCAGGGGTAGCGTACGGCATACCACCATTAGCATACCGATGTTGCTGTTGTTGCTGCTGCTGCTGTTGCTGTTGAGCCATCGGGTTCATCTGTCCATACTGCTGAGTCATCATCGGATTCATCCGTGCCTGATATTGCACCTGGGCGTATGCTTGAGCTTGAGCCTGGGCTTGAGCCTGCGCCTGAGCTTGCAGTCGCGCCTGAGCTTGAGCTTGCACCTGTGCTTGGGCCCGAGCTTGTGCTTGAGCTTGAGCTTGTGCTTGATACTGGGCCTGATTGCCCATGGGCATCTGCATCATTCCTGCTCGGGCGTACTGCTGCTGTTGCTGCTGCTGATGCCGCTGCTGCTGTAGCTGTCTTTGCTGTTGTTGCTGTTGCCGCTGCTGCTGTTGTTTCTGTGCCATTTGAGACTGTCCATAGGCCTGTGGCGGGCGTGGAGACGTCTCGGAAGACTCGTCCGCCCACTTGGCCAGCGTCATGAGGTTCTTGTTCAGAATCTTGCGTTTCTTGTCCAATTTCTCCGTGAACTCTCCCATCTGCGCCGTCCCTTTTCCATGTTTAATCTGCGTGTTCAGCTCAATAATCTCGACAATGAGACTCGAGTTCTCGTCCAGCATAGCCTATACACGAAAACATCGACAGACATCGTATCAGCAGACGTATACTGATTCCAACTACTAATATGATCAAAGATGGTAGCGCGAATGGACACGCACGCACGACCACAACGACGCACCTGGATCTGCTCGGTACTAATCTGCGTTGTCTCATGAGGCTGCTGCGGCTGCTGCTGCTGCTGCTGTTGGTGGTACGGCTGCGGCACTGCGTACGTCCGATTCATCGCCATCTGCGGCGCCGCGGGCGTCAGGTCCATGGTTTACGTCGTTATAATGACAATGGAGAGGTCTGTGCAATCTCATTGGTTGAAATGATCTGCTGCCATTTGACTGGCTCAAAAGAGCCGACGACACCCACCAACGCCGCGAGCGAGTCATGAGCGGCATGCAGCGATTCCTCCGACTAAATGCGGCCGCAGCCGAAGCTGCGATGAAGCCGCAGCTCGTGGACGGCAAGTGGAAGCAGCCGCTGCTCTCTGGACGGAAGGTGGCGATGGTGAAGAAGCACGCAAGTCGTAACGGGCTTTTAGGGACGTGGGAGGAAGGCCGAGGCGGCTGGCTCGAGACGTGGGATCGGCCACAGAAGCACCACGTCATGCGGCCACTGAAGGGCCACAAGAACCAGCGCAATGAGTTTGATCGGTGGGGGATAAAGCAGCTGCTGGTGGTGACTTTGTATTGTCGAACTGAACTGACGGGTGCTGCTTGTTTCGCTAGTGTCAAGAAGGTGCAGGCAGCTCTGGCAGCCATGCCTGGCAAGTTTGCCGACCACAAGAAGGCGGTCAAGCAGTCGAAGCCGCAAAAGGGGCTGGAAAAATGGCTCAATGAGAAGGACCCGTACTAGGTGTGGAAAAAAGGACGCGGCAGATGAGACTTGGTAGCTTTTTGGATAATTGCAGGGTGCACGAGACCGTGGTCACTATTTTGCTGTACTCTTGATGAAGGAGTCGGGGCTGCTTGTCGTTTGTTGCATAGGTGAAGATACAGGCGAATGTGATGGAAGCCAAAGCTGGCGACGTAGCAGCTACACTGCAGCGACCCTTTTTTTATCAGGGGACTAGATTCACGGCTTGGAGCTACCAAATTTGACCCCGCATATGAATTCCACTGCTATTGGTGCGGATGTTTCGGGTGCAGTTGTGCATAAGCGGATCGCCTATGTCTCAATTTGAAACATCGTTGTAGCGGCCATTACGCTGTCATCGACATTAGGAATTTGCTTGAAGTAAGTGTCTGCCGGACCTATTGGAACCAAAGAGGCTAACGCTGTAATGATGGATCAGCGACGAGTGCTGGAGATTAAACTTCGCCTTGGCGCTGGATAGACGTCGAGGTACATCAGAGTCAGGACGGCTTTCCTTGACGACATGTTGTGGCAGAATGTGGTGCGATGCGTTTTCTGGTGGTCGATGCTGCATCGTTGCCTTCTGACTAACAGTGATATCTGTACAATGAAGAGGTCTATCTCAATCCGGTCTAGTGGACTTGTCGATGTAAATCGTTGGTGCGTTTTGTTCAGTTAAGAATAGGTGTTGCGACTGAAGTATTGGCGTAAGAAGCTTAGTGAAGAGATGCCAGCAATCTTCTTTTGCCCAGTACTGCGACTACATCACTGATGCGCAAAAGGGGTCACTGTTATAGATATAGCTTTTAACAGGTTACGTCGGTGTAGAGGCAACTGCAAGACCTGTTACAGGTTTAGGTCGACCTCACCTGATTGGTCGACAAGTTGACGGTGGGACGAGACAGGTTGACATATGGGACGCGAGAAGACGATCGTCATGTCGGAATATCAAAGACAGATGGTAGGAGAGACAGAGACATACAGACGTCATATGGGACCAGGACCAGCACATGGGATGGGCACGCTGGACGTATGCCAAAGTACAACTTGACCAGGTCAAGTTGCAGTGCTGGTGCAAATACATACAAATAGGGTTGACTAGGCAGAATAGTTAGCACCCAATATATTTCACTTTTACGTCCTACATCCTTTGCACAAGTGCAAGAGCTACCAACATCTAACAGGTTATGAGCCCAATCAAACGTGTTGGTGGTGCGGCTGAACCAGCTGCACATACCGTGGTGGTCGACGACCATCACCTGAAAGAAAAGTCGGCAGCGCCTGCGGAGGCGATCGAGAAGATGCTAGCCATGCTAGGAGACCTGTCCGAAAGGATGAACCGGATGGAGGTCTCCCAGAGAGAGCAAGGCGGCAAGAACTGGCAGGGCTCACCCGAGTCGAGTATCGCCAGTCGGCAACAGGAGGTCGGGGCAGGGATTAATCTCCAGACTTTGGACCGTACCCCTTCTAAGGAATCCCCAAACGTGTCACCAGCAACCTATTTCGGTATTCGGCGACAACAACAGGCAGGTGTTGAAGGTCATCACGCGAGAAAAGCAGAGAAAGGGGTCAACATGGGTCAGGCACCCGTCCCTGGGATATACCGGGCAGGTTTGCCTGAAGGACTCTACCCCGGTATAGGTATGCCTAACGGGGTGTGTGTTTACCCTGGGCAGCCGGGAGTCGGCATGCCGGACGCGCAACAGCGGAAGCTGGCATTGCAACCTTTCGACGGAAAGGAGCTCTACCACGGCCTTGGCTGTGGATTCATGAAGTGGGGCAAAGAATTTGTCAGACAAGTCGGGTTTGCTGAGCGAGCGTGTGGTTTCGTGTGGCCAGAGGACATCAAGGTTGATGTTGTAGGTCAGCACCTAGCCGGCAAGGCACAGACCTACTATCGTCGTCAAGTGGAAACGTGGTGGTTTGAAAACCAAACCCTGGAACATACGATGCAGAGACTACTGCAGACCTTCACGACGAAGATCTCGCCAGCAAGAAGCATGAAGTTGTTTACAGCACCCAAGGCATCCCATCGAAACTGGACAGACCATTTTCTGTACTTGACGGCCGTCAGTGACGCCTGTGGAGGTGCAGACAACCTTGTGCTGGACAACATCGTCCATTATGCTGACATACACATGCGAACGACGATTTTGTCCAGATTGGACATTCATCGCACCGATTACCTGCGGCAAGCAGAAGAGTTGGCGCAATTTGCCCAATCGACGGAGGTGGACACTCACTCGAAGAGTTTTGGACGCGATGTGGTGAACACTGTCGAGGTTGCGCAGGAGTTCAAGGACAAACACAAATCAAGACCGTCGCTACCACGCACCGACACCCGGACTTGTTTTAAATGTGGAGAAGTGGGTCACATTCGTTCGAGGTGCCCCAAAATGAAGAAAAAGCCCTCGGGTGCGAATTTCGTTTTCGCGGTTGGTCGCGGCGCGAGTCGCTCGCCCGGACAATGGATTCTCGACAGCGGTTCGAGTAGACATCTGGTCAATGACCCGAGTCTGCTGATTGATCCGATTGATTGTCGCAGCGAGTGCATGACTGCAGCCACTGATGGAAGTGCGCTGCGGATCACCCTACAAGGAACTGTAGACATCCAAGTCGTTGCACTTGGAGTCGTGAACACAGAAAGGCTCCTCAGTGTTCAGTATGCGGAGAACCTCGAGCGTAACATCCTTTCCTACGGATTGCTCGAGGCAAAAGTTTGCGTACTTGAATATCGAGGAGGGAGGCGCGTGTTGTCTTCCGGTACGGGCTTTCACCCATCATGGATGTGGAATGCTGCAACAACGTGTTGGTTGTCGCGGTGACAAATCACAGTGATCGTGAATCCAAGCCACCACAAGAGGCACTGATGACTGTCGTCAACCCACCTGAATATGAATCCGATTCGGATGTTCTACGCGGTACCTTGATGGACTTTTATCAACGTTTAGGACACCTTTGTTTCGACACGATCGTCGAGATGGCGAACGATCCGGCATCATGCATCCGACTGACTGATTCGACACGTCAAAAGTGTCTGGCCTGTGCCCAGGGAAAACAGACCAAGGGAGCCCAGTCGAAGAGAGATACAGGCGCGAATTTGCCAATCGACGCGATCGGGGAGGTCATTTGTGAGGACCTTAAGGGTCCCATGACCCCCCAAGATCGTTTGGGAAATCGGTACATGGTCAACTTCATCGACCACCGTTCGAGTTACTGTCGAATATTTTTGGCCTAGTCGAAGGATGCAGCCGCGTCAAAGTTCAAGCTCTTCATGGCAAACTTCGAGCGCGAGTTCAATTGCAAGGTTCATGTCTTACGCACCGATGGAGGTGGCGAATACACGACACTCGATATTTTCTGCTCTTCGGAAGGCGTCTTGCGTCAACTAAGCGAGGCGAAAAACCAAGCAAGCAACGGCAAGGCTGAACGGATGCACCGCACCGTCATGAACATGGTGCGGAGTATGATCTTTGCATCAAACCTGCCGCTCTCATTTTGGGGTGATGTTGCAGAGTACGCCTCGTACATACTCAATCGATGCAAAACCAAGTCCAACCCCGGATGTGCATCGCCCTTGGAGATCCTGACAGGCAAGGCTCCCGTGCTGACAGACATTGTGGCCTTTGGTTCAACATGCACTGCGCACAGAGATCCGAAGAACAAGTCACTCGGTGAATGAGGCAAGGCGGGCATCGTCATTGGGCGAGGCGGCGAAACGAAGGGATACAAGGTGTACATCCCAGTGGATAAGGTGGTCGTGGTGACTCAACATGTTCAAAACATTGAAGCACCACAGGATGACCAGGATGAGAGAAAGACCTGTCCAGACACGGCACGACGTCAGGAGGAGCCATGCCCTGATCATCAGGCGGATGAAGAAGATCGGCAAGATGGTGTGAAACGTGCGAAGCAGGTCAGAAAAGGTCGAAAGTCGACATGGACCAGAGAGCGACATGTGACAAGATCGACAACGTCAAGTCAACCAAAGGTGGTTGTAGTGGACACCTCGGTGGACGGTTGCGACATTGTGAACGCGATCGTCGAGCAAGACCCGAAGCACTATGGTGAGGCAATGAAGAGTGGACAACGCGACCAATGGCAGGTAGCCATGACCGAAGAATTGGACGCACTCGAGGCGAACGACGTCTGGAAGATCGTAGTGCCACCAAGAAATGCACACGTGTTGCACAACAAGTGGGTCTACAAAACAAATACCGACGCGAACGGAGATATCGAGCGATACAAGGCTCGACTAGTGGTTTGCGGAAACGAACAAGTCTTCGGCATCGACTACAACCTCACGTTTGCGGCCGTCATGGGCTTAGTGACCGTCAAGCTAATCCTGGTGCTCTCCAAGCGATGAAACGTTCCCGCACGTCATAAGGATGTTCCGAACGCCTACGTTAAGGCAGAAAAGGAGGAGCATCTGGATATCTTCATGCAGGTTTCAAAGGCATGCAAATCACCAAGGAGGAACTTCAAGGTTTCGGTGTGGAATCTCCTGGTGAGGTCGCGCTGCTGTTGAAAAAATCGTTGTACGGACTAAAGCAAGCGGGACGACTCTGGAGCAAGCTCTTACACTCCAATCTGACCGAGAATGGCTACAAGCAGTGCACGACGGACATGTGTCTATACTACAAGCACCAAGGTCAAGAATAGACCATCGTCGGAGTATATGTGGACGATCTTCTGGTCACAGGAACCAAGCAGTGCGCGGTTGATGAGTTCTTTGCGGGCATGGAGACACTATCGATCAATGATCTCGGCGTCGTCCAGAAGTTTCTGGGACTTAGAATCTCTTTGGATGACACTCAAGGATACATTCTGGACCAAGAGGTCATGATCGACGTGTTGCTCAGGGATTTCAAGTTGGAGTCAGCGAACGGTGTGCGAACGCCAATCGGAGATGAATGCAATGATGATAACAAGGATAATGTGGACTATCTACCCGCGAAAGGTGCAAGCGGCGAGCCAAGTTTGAGTGCCTTTCAATCCTTGGTCGGGAGTCTGCTATAGATCGCAAGATGCACGCGGCCCGACATATGTTTTGCAGTGCATAAGGCAACTCGTCAAACACACAAGCCAACCACCAAGGACTTGAAGATTGCGAAACGTATTGCAAGATACTTGAAGGCGACAAAGAACTTAAGGTTGCACCTGAACGGAAACGGAACGACTCAACAAAATGTCAAGATTGAGTGCTGGAGCGATGCAGACTTCGCCGCGGACAAGGCGGACCGTAAGTCAGTGTCTGGATACGTACTAACTTTGGACGGTTCTGTTGTTTTATAGTCGTGCAAGAAACAGTCAGGTGTGTCGCTGAGCACTATGGAAGCGGAGTTCATGTCCTCATCCCAGCCAGGACGCGAACTGCTGGGTGTGAGGGAACTACTGCTGGAGCTAAAGCTGCAGGTATGCATGCCGATGCCTATGTGGATGGATAATCAAGCGGCGATCAAGCAACAAGAGGGAGAGAAGAGCACAACGAGCGCGAAGCACGTGGACATCAGGTTCAAATTCATCTGCCACTACGCGCGTGAAGGAATTGTGGTGCCCAAGTACGTCAAGACTGAGAGCATGATGGCGGACATTCTGACGAAGTCCTTGCCAGCGCCGAGAATGGAGGAGCTACGCAATATGTTCAACTTGAGGACGATTCAGGCTGAAGTCGAGGAGAATGTTAGAAGATACAGCTTTTAACAGGTTACGTCGGTGTAGAGGCAACTGCAAGACCTGTTACAGGTTTAGGTCGACCTCACCTGATTGGTCGACAAGTTGACGGTGGGACGAGACAGGTTGACATATGGGACGCGAGAAGACGATCGTCATGTCGGAATATCAAAGACAGATGGTAGGAGAGACAGAGACATACAGACGTCATATGGGACCAGGACCAGCACATGGGATGGGCACGCTGGACGTATGCCAAAGTACAACTTGACCAGGTCAAGTTGCAGTGCTGGTGCAAATACATACAAATAGGGTTGACTAGGCAGAATAGTTAGCACCCAATATATTTCACTTTTACGTCCTACATCCTTTGCACAAGTGCAAGAGCTACCAACATCTAACAGTTACAACAATAGAGTCAAGTGCAACTGCAGCATATAAATCACTTTTTACAGCTACGTGGCTTCAGTATTCTGCTGGTGGAACACGTTGTGAACATTTTCGCATTTCAAGCAGGTCTTTCGCCTGCTTTGTTCTACTCCAGCCTCATTCGGCAATATATCGTGGGAATGATCAGGACACGAAACGAAGCCTTGCACGCAGTATGTCGGTTAAGCGGTCTCCGACAAAAAGTGTGCCTTCGCATTTTCTACTCATATTCTGCGACCCAGCGCAGTGCAATAATGCCGCTTGCAAAATTTCGAGCATTTCGCTTGTGCTGTCCTCAGCAAACACTTTTTGTCGGGTTTCCTGCATTACCTACCACTTGGTTGTGGTGAAGGGTAAAGACTCTTCGCTAGATGTAGCAAATCAATCGGTTTGTCGAACACAGCAAGGCCTTCCTTACCAGCTCATCATTTCCAAGACAGGAAGTTGTTATAACTGGTCAGCCCGTTACATGATATTGACACCAAACGGTGTCAATAGGGAGATCGTCTAGCGTGAAAGTTCCGTGCCAATATCATCCGAGATGAATAATTTTTGAAGGAATAGTATCCCCTTTTAGATACTATTCATGCGCTGATCAAAGATTGGTTGATAAAAGACGTATCAACCATAGATCACCACAAATCGCTGCTAGACGCGCGAAATGAGTGGTGAGCAGGTTGTCGTCATGAAACGACGACATAGCTTTATATAGTTAGATAAAGACTGAAATTATGTTGATAGCTTAACTAAATTAATCGGAGTTCTCTTTTTACCCTTTATTCAGCTTAGTCGTTGAGTAGGTTAGCCTCCTCTGCACGTACGAGTGTACGTGAAGTTTCGCAGCACCCCAAACAAAGGGTGCCCCGTTACACCTGGTAGCACTTTGTATTCAGTCCGAGGACTACTTAGTGTCAGTCCAGCATGAATATGTTGGACGTAGAAGACGACAGCTTTGGCGTCACACGTGAGGGCTGCTCCCATCTGAGTGACTCAGAATGGGAGGTAGTCGGCCGCATGAGTGTGCTCATGGGCGAGACCGCCATCAGTGGCATGTTGAAGTCTCTAAGCAAAGACCAGCAACAAGCTGCTATCGACAAGTTCCTACAAGAGGAACTTGCCGTCGAAAAACAGAAGATAGCCTTGCTACAGCAGCAAGGCTCTCATCTGTCGATGGGCGGGCCGACGCACATTCGTCGCCCGAAGCCTTGAAGATAGATATCCCAAGGTACAAGAAAACCGATGAAGATATCCTTTTGAAATGGTTCGTCGAGTTAGACGACGCCATCAGGGCCCGTCACATCGAGGGTGACAAGATGCAAGTCACCTAAGTCCTGTCAAATTTGACAGGACGAACAAAGACTTGGGCCTTAGGGCTAAAGCTCCACGACCTAAACGTGTTGAGTCGTTAAAGATCTTGAAGTCTCGGCTTAAAGAGACGTTTGAGTTGCCGAGAGTTGAGTTCAGAGCATGCTCTACACTCTTGAGGGTAAAGCAAGGTAAGCGTGACGTGCACGCTTACGCTAAGCACCTGCGCTACCTTGCGAGTAGCGTTACGGAAAACCCTGTTGATGAGCACACGCTCATCAACGTGTTCATCTACGGCCTTGTGGATGGGCCGGTGAAGACCTACATGTTCCAAGAGGACCCATACGCTTGAAAGGGCGATAGCGTATGCGGAACAAGAAGACTTTGGCCTGAGACAGTCTCAGACTACTCGTGAAACTATCGTCCTAAAAGGCGACAGGAAGCAGGAGGTCCCGAACCAATGGAATTCTGCTGCATCGAGAGCGAGAACACTCGCTCTCTGTCACAAGAGAGCGACAAGATGCCATCGCTGTCAGAAGATCAGATACTACGCTCATGAGTGTAGTGTCCCAAGCACCGCATAACGTTCAAAGGCTGGACGTGATGACCGCCGTTGGCCGAGGAAAGGTCCAAGGCGTGGGTCCGACCAGGTCGCTAAACCTCGACAGAAAGTCGGACCGCCAAAAAACGGTCAGGGTCAGTAGAGGCGGAGCACCCTGCTGATCCAGCAACGTCAAAAGAATTTGCAGGACTTTTGACGAAGATTGCTCCCAACACACGGTCGCTGTGTGTTACTGCCCCTAGTGATGAGGTGTCACTCATTACTTTGCGGATCGAAGTGACAAGTGGAATGTCACTTCGCGCTCACGTTGACTGTAGGGTGCCGAACAGTTTTATTCGACGCCAGGCACTAGAAGGTAGTATAATCAACTATGTTTAGCGAGATATTCCTCTAACGAGGACGACGGTGTGCCTTACTGCAGGCACATCCGTAAAAGTGAATAAACGTGTATTGGAAATCCACTACACACTAGACGGAGAGCAGTACGATGACGACTTCATCGTATTGGATTTGGATGACAAATTCGATGTTATCCTCGGTCTGCCATGGCTTGGAAAATACCAGCCATGGATCAGCTGGTAGCATCGATCCGTGAAGATGCCTGCCGTTTGTTCATCAGATGGCCATCTGATGAACGTCTTGGAGCGTCCACAAGCGTGTGGATGTACTACGAGCGAGTGCGATGACCTCACTTGTTGTACGATCGTTAGTAAGACTGCACACGATCACAGTGTAGAAGGCCACTACACTGTGGAACCAGCTTTTGGCACCTATGAAGAGACACAGACTGAGCCGAAGATTCACCACTCGAAGAGATCTAGTGGACTGGAACACGGATGCACACCAAGCAGGGTGCATCAAAAAGAGAGATAGGTGTTGTTTAGGATAAACCTCACGTTGGAGCAAGATCGGCTAACCGAGAGTCGATCGTAGAGCAAGTCCAATCGATTAAAAGATATTCGATCGAAGAGTACGTGACAGTGGTAGTACACCCACAGTCAGTACACGTATTGGGAGAAGGTTCTAGCGTTCCTGAGAGTGATAACTCCCGAGAGACTGATGTTGAGGGTGTGGATCCCCAACCACCTACGTATGCGTTTTCCCAGGAAATCACCGAGTCAGTGAATGTCTTGGTGAATGATGGATCAAGTGTAGGCGCTTATACACTTGATCTGATTACGCCTCCGAAGTCAGCTTCGGAGGTAGTTGCCAACGCTAGAATCTAAAAGATTCTTGCGGATCTGCGTAGTGACAAGATCAAGCAGATCTGCGTATTCGTCACACAGGACGAGTACGTCGCCGATATTCGTTTGGCGCAAGTGCTTACTGAGAAAGAACGGGTTCTCAGTAGCTCATCGATGAAGAGAGTGTCTTCAATGAGAATATCCGGATTGAGCAATACACGTCTCAATCTTGGGAGTCTTTGAAAACTATCAATTTATTATCAGGATTTGGCCGAATTCAGGGATGTTTCCGTGAATCCGTGCCATGCAAGCTGCTTAAGGACAAATGTGCTCGGCATGAGATCGAGCTGAAACCCGGTTCGAAATACTGTGTCATGAAGCAGTGGCCACTGCCTCGTGAACAGGTCACAGCAATCGACAAATCATTTGCCGATCGTTTAGCGGCTGTTCATGTATGGGAATCAACATCCCCTTACAGCTCTCCGACCTTTTGTGTGCAAAAGGCCACGGGAGAGTGGCGAATAGTGCACGTACTCAACAAATTGAACGCTGCAACTACATTGGCTCAAACGCCGATACGGAGAAAGGACGTCATCATAGATGGTTTGGCAAAAAGTACCATCTTTCGTCCATGGATCTGATGGATGGATTCTATCATTTTCTCATGCGTGAACGGGATATCCCTCCCGTACACAGCAGTGAGAACCCTCAGTGGTATGCTCTGAATGTGGCTAGTGCTGCCACAGAAGCTAAGTAACGCCCCTGCTACGATCAACAGATGTGTTACGAATCTATTGCGATCGGTGTGAGAGTTCGCACCGAGTTACTTCGACGATGTCTTCGTCCATAGCCGGGCTATGGATGGAATGACGGACGTGGAGGTTCATTGAATCTACGTCCGGAAGGTTCTTACACTTGTGGATGAGCATATATTGTTCGCGAACCTCAAGAAGTGTATACTCGCAGCGAACGAAATACCACTTCTTGGCTGCATCGTAGGTAAAAACGGTGTACGACCTGATCTGGAAAAGATCAAGGCGATTAGCGACTGACCTGTTACAGTTGACTTTAAGGGACTTCGAAAGTTCCTTGGCTTAGCGATGAACTTGCACAAGTACTCACGCAACTACGCCGAGATGACCGTACATCTCTCTCGTCTACTAAACAAAAACGAGAGGTGGTCATGGAGTACTGAGTGTCAGCACTCCTGTGAAGGTATAAAAAAAAGGTTAATACAATCGCCTGTGCTGGCGATTGCAGATCAGGATAGACCCTTCTATGTGGTCTGTGACGCCAGCGATTTTGCAATCGGCTGCGCGTTGATGCAGTACGACTCTGACGGCGTTGAGCGCGTCGTCTGTTATCAATCGCGTGAGCTGCAAGCAGCTTAGCGTAATTACCCAGCGCTTGACAAGGAATTACTTGCCATGAAATATGCACTAGCTAAGTTTCGGGTATATCTCTTAGGAGATAGGCCCTTCACCGTTTATACCGACCATGCGTCATTACGCGCGGACGTAAACAGCTCACACCTCATTCAACGAATGGCAAGGTGGCTGTCTTTCTTTGTGGAGTGCAACTTCTCCGTCGAGCATAAACCAGGACGACTTAGTGTCGTCGCTGATGCTCTTTCGCTTCGGCCCGATTTTGAGCCGACTGCTTAACACAATAGTAAGGGTGATCCCACTCTTGCAACTCTATCAGTGAGTGTTCCGTCGTCATATCTTCTCGACGACGTGGGAGAGGCAAACGCAAAAGATGAGTCTCTTCTGCAATTGATGGATTACATGTCTAATCCATGCAGTCAAGCGTTGAAAAGCTTTTCGTCTCAATACCGCTCTTCAACCGAACGGTATTCGTTTCGTGATGTACTGCTGTACTACACATCATTCAACGGCGACACGCCTCGTGTCGTCGTTCCCGCTCATGATGATTTGCGATTGCGCACCATGTATGAGTATAACGATTCCCCATCAAGTGGACATCGCGGTAGAGAAAAGACTTACCTCACGGTAAGTCGTGACTTCGACTGGCCCCGCTAGTATGAGTTTGTGCGCAAATGCAATAGTGCTTGCGAAGTTTGTCAACGGGTGAAGCCTAGTCCTTCATCCCGCGCACCCTTGCAGCCTCTTCCGATTTTGGCAGAGTTCTGACAGTCCATATCGATGAAATTCTTTTTGGGTTTCCCAAAGACGTTCACAAGAATACTGGTATTCTTGTGTTTGTTGATCGGTTCAACAAGATGGTACATCTTGTTGCGGTACCGGAGACAGTTACAGCCCAGGGCTGTGCTCGTGTCTTCATCGATACTATATTCCGACTTAACGGGTTACCCCTTGAACTCGTGTCCGATAGGGACCCCCGCTTGACAGCGGAGTTCTGGTAATCCGTGTTCGGTTCACTTGAAACACGTTTGACGATGCCGACTTCTGACCGTCCAGAAACAGATTGTCAGACGGAACGCGTCTACCGAGTCCACGAAAAGATAATTCGAGGGTACGTCCACTTGTTTACGAGTTGAGCTGAGTTCTTGCCGATGGCGGAATTTGCCATCAATACCTCGGTGCATGCATCGACAACGCATACACCGTTCTTCGGGACTGGCCTACGCCATCCACATTTACCCTCCTTCTTAGAGTGTGACTTTAGTTTAAGGGAGGGTAAATCGCCCGAACGAAAACCGATCTGGTTCTTGCTCATCGCACGTCGACAATGGTGTCGACGTGATGGATGCCGATGTCGATCACATCGACACGATGATGATGAAGATGCTGGTATATCCAGCATCGCAATCGACTGCCACAATGAGGACGATGATGCCCTCACTGGTGAAGACAACGTTCTTTCAGCAGTGCACACGAAGCGCACTGCTGTTAGCAAGGATGAATCAGCAGATGAATTTCTGCTGGCTCGCGAAGCAGTTGTCCGCTTCGTTCAAGATTCTATTGCAGATGCAATAGACAAGCAGAATAGAAGCGCATACTAACATAGAAGAGCAAATGTTCTTTCATTTGATGAAGGAGACTTCGTTTTATTGTCAACAGTAAAACTACCAAAGCACGCAGTGACAAACGTGGGAAGCAGTAAATTACTACCCAAGTATATCGGTCCATTTCGTGTGTTGCGCCAAATCGGCAACGCATACACGATTGAACTGC